AAAGAATTTAAAATTACCTTTCCAAAAATATAGCACACTTGATATTTTGTTATAATTTGCTTCGAAATACAGAATTTTTAAAAGTTCGCCATTTTTAACTAGTAGGCTTTGGACCCCTTATTGATGATATGCCCTTAATGGAACTCGAAAACATATTTTTCCAGCAAGACGACGCACCGCCTCTGAACGCTGAAGTTATCAGCAAATTTTTGCATCCAATTTCAAGAATAATTAAATAGCTAACCAAGATTCCAGCCGTTGGCCGTCGAGGCCGCCTGACTTTGTGCCCATGGATCTAATCCTATGGATATATTTGCGGAAAAATAAAGGTTCCTTATTCTTCCGTATAATCTAGATAAGAATTAGAAATACTTAGCAGTTATGAGAGGGTATATTTCACCCCCACTGAGTTAATGAATTCCGCTAGAAATGTTCAAAAACTGCCCCGTCTCGTCTGTCCATAACAGAAGACGGTAGATATGTCGAACACCTGTAGCAAAATCTCATCTCTTGGTTTGCTATTTATTTTTATTGTTATTAGATATAGTTTAACTGTGTTGATGTTGGTTAAATATATTTTAAATTGTTATAAAATTCTGCATCTCTCATAGCAAATATTATTTTCGTTTTAATTGATACTCATACCTAGATTTTTTTTGCATTACAGCCGGTGCCGTTCAAAGCCTACTCATTTAAAGCGGGCGAATTTTTATATACTCTATATCTCGAAAAGGAATCGAGCAAAATATCAAGTGTGTTATATTTTTCGAAAGGTAATTTTAAATTCTTTTCAATACATTAAAAATATACAGGGTGTCCCATATAAAAAATCAAATTTTCTGTTGATAATTCTTAAATTATTTTAAAAAAATTATACTTAAACCATTAAATTCTACGTAAAAAGGTGCTCTGGAAATGTTTTCATAAAAATACAAAATTTTCCATAGCAAAAAAGTTACAGCGATTTGTTAAAAATGCATATTTTTTAAAAACACCCCGTAACTCCGAAACGGTAACAGATATCGATATGCGGTTTTCACCATCATGTTTTTGACAAAAATTGAGCTACAGACACCGATATTACTTTTCGTCTATCTCCTATAGAAAAGGGTGTTTCCATTTAAAAGCGTCGAATTTGATCCACCCTGTACATCCTTTTCTAGAATTTTAAGTACTGCCTGGCAGTGCTTGGGGTGACCGGTCGACCGCCACGAATCTGCTATATCCCCTTCCATGTCTCTTAGCAATATGCACGTATATTTCATACGTTTGGTAACATTTTTACTGTTCTCTCTCTGTTCAGTACATTATAAACGCATTGTTCTCTTCTTACATACGGAGATCTCAACCCAAAACTAACCTATGTATTTACGCACACGACGACAGGATTCGAACGCTTTCTAATACATACTGATGTCACGCGACAAAATTTGGTAGACAGTTTCAAAAGTCTTAAACCTCAAAACGAGACAATGGATTTGTAATTTCAGTTTTTATGATTCAGCACACAAGTTATGGGGATGACCTGATATGTCATTTTTTACCTAAATACGGTCTGTCTCATTTTTATACCACTTGACCCTACTTATTTATTTTCTATTATCCTCAGAATTGGGTAGGCAGGGGCTTCTATATTCTTTAGAACTAGCCGACACTGAATGAAGGCTTTAGTCTAAAATTCTGATATGTATAATTTTCTTATAGTAACTTTAATGAGCCTAATTAGAATAGTTCATAATAACAAATTTTGTCGTAATTAAGTAAAATCAAAATTGAAAAATGAAATAGTTGATTTTTCTCCTTTATTAACGCATTATACTAATAAAAATTATTGTGTAGCCTAGGTAAACTATGTAAAATATTACCCACTGATTTTGAATCGATCACTGAATTTTACGATAACCTGTGCCAAAAAAAACGACACCAATATGCCGCCGTCAAAAAGGAACGCATACTTATTTCAAATTCGTTTTATTGCAGCACAACTCACTAATTTATAGATAAAAAGAAATGAAAAGTAAAAAATTGTTAAACTTGCTCATTGTTGTACTTATTTACGTGACCGATTTGCGCCCTTTCAACGACATCAAACTTTTGTTACATTATAAATAGGGAAATCTTATGAAATTGGTAAGTTTAGATTTAGCCATTACGGATCGAGTCGTCGGCCAAAGGGCGCAAAATCCCTTTAACTGATAAGAACAGGCGAATAAGTCAAGCGCGCAAAATTTCCTTTTTTTTAACGAAAAGTCGATGGATGTAAATATAGTGTTATGATATGTCACACTGCCTAAAATATAAAAATTAAATATTATTAAGACTGATTGTTTTATTTGAAGTAATGCATGTATGAGTTTGAAATTGATTTCAACAGGATGTACCTTCATTCATCAATGTATGATGATCCGCTTTTTGTATTTTGGAAGTTTAATGTTATTGTAATTTTTCCTAAATTGTTTGGTATAATTAAATATCAATTCCCTACTATTGAAGAACTACAAAAATATGTTATGTTAACATCAGAAACTCCAGTAAGTATGTAGTCCAGTAAGTTTTACAGTTTTGTGTAGCACGTTGAACTCGGTTCATTACCTACTGTTTTTAAACTAAAATTTTATATTATTATAGTCTTGTATATACTAATGTTATGTAAACTTAAACCAAATCAGAGATTTAAAGCTATGAAGATGTAAATATGGTGTTATAAACAATGCCTAAAATATACAAATTAAATAGTATTTAGATTAATTCTAAAAAAGAAAAATACATGTAGAACTTAATAATTTATATTGACAAAGCATGCTCTTAATTCGGCAGTATATGATGCTCCGTATTTTTGTCTCCAAGTTTCCTGATATTATAATTCTCGTACTATCATCTGGATAATAAAATATAGAAATACAAGCAAGTATATAAAATATTATTAAAGCTTTCTAAAATAGTATAGGTTTTACAGAAATATTATCAAACGGACAAAAAAAAATCAGTAGAAAATACTGAGGGTTAGAATTTTAATCTCTATGTACTACTAAGTTTTTAAATTAATACAAAAGCACTTACTTTTCTTTAGTACTAAGATAAGTTGACTAAATATCACTTAATCTGTTCTTAACCTATTGATATCAGATTTGTTCGGGTTCTTGTTATTACCGATTCTGAACCGTCCAAGAACTTTGCAGCGCATGCGCAAATGAAATAATGTCTTCATATTTCCTTCTGCGCATACGCATCACAGTTCTAGGACGGTTCAGAATCGGTAATAAGAGAAACCCGAAGTTAGCTATTAATTTAAAAAGTCGGTAACTAAAAGGCATCAAAAATCAAAAATAATAATATAATTTATTTTTCTTTATTAGCAAATGTAATTTAATATTCGTTATTAAAAATTTTGACCATTATTAATAAATAAATATTATGCATGGTGTCTCTCGAGAAAATTATATAAAATATTTCTCACTAATTTTCGGTTTATGTCGAGATTTTTTTTATTTTTTAATAAATACCAGCGGAAGGAATTCGGGCAAAAAAAGTCGATGTTGTCACGTTTAATTATAGAAAAGCAAAGTTGCTCGATATTACCTATAAATTGAATATATTTTAGTTCATTTCAGCATACATAATTATATATATATATGCTAGTATGTTGACGTAGTTCTTATTGTAATAATGTATATTTATCTAATTAACAGATTTCGTTCATTCTGCCTATTATAAAAGGTAAAGTATTTCCTTAAGTTAAAGTCCGCTTAGGGTAAGCTGGCAACGTTGACAAAATTCAGCATGGCATTCAACCAGTCGGATTCAACCAGTCTGATTGGTTGAGATTCTTGCACGTCTTGTTGCCATTACCCCCAACTTTATGCCCCTCTCTAGGAATAGTAGAAACAGTCACTACTATTGAAAAATCCGTGTTATTGTATTGTGTTTTATATTATCTTTAACTTGATTTGTGGTTATTGTAATTAGTACACGCGTTTTAACAAATATTACTATATTTGGCAAATGACTAAACAAAATGTAGGTACATTTAGAGTAAAATAATATTATAAACTTTACTGGAAAATATTATAAAAATTCCTGATATATTTTTATGAAACACCGCACGCTCGTGGGTATTCTATGAATGAAATCGGTCATGATTTTAGAAAATTGCGATCCCTTTGCCGTTGCCCCGTTGTTTCAGATCCGTTTGTCAGACTGTCAATGAATTATTGGCCCTCATTAATAGGTAAATATAGGTATTTTGAACCAATAACAATGGAAGTTACATGTAGTCTAAGAGCTAGCAACTTTTTCGAGAAAGTATTTTAAGACGTCTGGCTCTTTGATATATCTTTTACAAGGCTTTTACCATGCTCTCTGGAATAGCATGCGGCCCGTCTGGCTGCCGATACCCGTTGCGTCTACTACTGCGCATCAGAAGAAGATCCTATATTTTTTTATTAATTTAGTTCTATAAATTTTAGTATTGAATATAAATCGAACATGTCTCCATAGCGCAGTGCGTAGAGTTTCCGACCACGAACCGATGATTCAGAGTTCGAATCCGGGTCAGGTCAAAGATTTTTTTATTTTATTTTCGTTTATATTCTGATAGTAAAGTATTAAATAATTCTGGTAATTAAAAAAAAACAAATATTTAATACTTTACTATCAGAATATAAACGAAAATAAAATTAAAAAAAGTCTTTGCCCTGACCCGGATTCGAACTCTGAATCATCGGTTCGTGGTCGGAAACTCTACGCACTGCGCTATGGAGACATGTTCGATTTATATTCAATACTAGAATTTAAAGGACTAATAAAAATATAGGATCTTCTTTCAATGCGCAGTAGGGAACGCAACGTTTACCGGCAGCCAGACGGGCCGCATGCTGTTCTAGAGAGCATAGTAAAAGACATATCAAAGAGCCAGACGTCTTAAAATACTTGTTTTCCCGACGTTGCTAGCTCTCGTACTATTAGTTCAATGTAAAGAAATCAACAATAATCGTAACCTATGATCGTAACTAAGTAACGCATTGTTAGATCAATGCAAAACGCAAATCAAATTTTTGACTGAAATACTTCTAAGCTTCAAATATTTCTAATTGTAAAATGTTTTGGGGATTAACTCCAGCCTTAGATTTAACTGAAGAATACACAAAAAAAAACCAGACATATCCTGAAGTGTTGAACATTCTCATAATCGGAAGCACTGATTGTAGGCATGTATTAAAAACTATAGCAAGAAAGTATCGTCATCAAAAAGTACGCTAACTTCTAAAATAAGTATATAGTCTAACTGAGAATCATTTTAAGGTAAATATTAACTTCTATATCATAGAAACGTGTATGGAAACTGTGGCAAAACAACTCTTGCTATTATACACAGCTTTGCAACCAAAGGAATCTATGGGTTTAGAACAAAAAACCAGAGTTTTTATGGAACTTTTTGGTAATACACTTGTAAGACCCTATACAGCTAAGTATTTAAGCAATGCGGCAAATGATTTGATAAAAATGATTACGAATTATGACTACCTAAAGAACAAGATGGGTATGGTAAATATAGATATAAAATATAAAGATAGAGATTATATAGAGAATCTTGTTAAGTTCTGGTGTGGTAAAGACGAGTTTAATATAATCGACTGTTGGAATAGGAGACTAAGAAAACTTCTTGGAGTCAGGTAAGGCATAAAAAATAAATATATACTTGCAGGAATAATAAGATACAGGGTGATCCGAACTGTATTCCGGAAACTTCGGCAGCATATTTTGCAGATAAAAATAATTACAGTTAATAAATAATAATGAGGGTTTGAGGAAGTTTTGGTGTTACACAGCAAAATAAAAACACTAAATCACCACAATACACCAAAACACTTTTACTTTTACACTGGACGCGCGTTTCGATAACCATGTTAGCATCATCAGCAGATGATTATAAACTAAAGTACAATCTACAAGTTGAGCGTTTATATACTCGCTCAGTGGGCACCGAGTAGGCGTGGCAAAATCTAGCCAACCGAGTCAGAGCCCACTGAGCGTAACAGTTAGATTTCCGCCACTAGAGTAGTAGGAACAAAGAACTTGAAGGAATTGGACCGTTGTCTCTGTTCATACTATCTTTACATTTATTAATTCTGATGCTTTCATATGCATCTAATTGCCTGTAATTTGAAACTTGTTTAATTAATTTTAAATTATTAATTTGCAACGTTCTTTATCAACAATATGTTCGGCAACGCAAGATTTATCCAGTCTACCATATCTTATCTGGGCTAAATGTTCTTTGAATCTAGTTAATATTGATCTTCTAGTTTAATCTAATCTAGTTAATCTTTTTAACTTGTGTATAGTGTTAATAATAAATTACAACAATTATTAGGTAATCCAAAGGATAAAACACCTCCACTGGAAAGGTCGGGTATTTATGAAATTTCTTGAAAAGATTGTAATCAGAAATATGTTGGGAAATATGTTAAAAAATAACAGTAAAATAACAAGTTTTAATGTTTTAACACCAATTTTCTTCTTATACGTTTCTATTTAAACACATATTACACACACTAATATTCGTAGGTATGATTCAAAATTAGGAGCATTTGACTGGGATTTGCATATGCGTCTCCACGATGTCGGTGGAAAACAAATTTGTGGCCAAGAATACCGAAGTTTCCGCTTGAATGGTGTCGCATTCTCATGGCTGGAGGGCGAAGTGTCCAAACCAAACAGAAGCATGGTTTGCGCTATAATACCAAACGGTGAAAACTACCTCCATCATGGTTACTTGGGAGATATGCAGACCGGTCCATTTGTAGCCTATGGCCTCGAGTGTGAAGATAAAACCTTTCTAAAAAGCACCAACGGACAAAATGCTTATCGAGCAACCGACATAACCCAGAGAAATTTAAAACAAATCTTTTATGAAATGGAACACCAGCAAGAATATGAGCATATTAAAACAACTGATATTGAGCTGGGAGGTTCGGTATTTAAACAAGACAAACTGGTATTTGACACGAAAGGACTTGAAACCAATAAGTTAAAACCTTTGGAAAAATGTATACAAGTTGATGATGTCTGTATTAATTTTGTATCTATTTGTTTACTGGACCAAATGAAATACAAGGAACAATATCACGGATATTTTGATTTGGTTTACTGTGCTAATAATTTTTTTAAGTATTTTGATGTTGAAACTATGGAAAAAGTTGCGAAAAGTGGATCAGTGTTTTTGTTTGAAAATCAACTATTCCTAGTGAATAATAGGAAAAAACAGATGGAAGAATATGCCGAAACTGTGCAAAGTAAGATAAATGAAATGAATGTGAAGAAAACAGGCTACAATTTTGAAAAAGACGCTTATTTTAAAACATGTTTAAAGTAAAATATAATTTAATAAAAATAAGTACCTATTTTCCTTGTTATTATTAACTACCCAATTATTTTTTTTAAAATTAATGTTAAATCAAAAAATTATTTACTAATTTTTTTTCATGCAATATCACTGAAAAAAATATGTAATAATAATAATACATATAAAAAAAACATAAAAAATCTGATTTTGTGAAATTTTTGACACACCTTGTATAATACCAGCAAATTTTTATTAATTAATTTTATCTATTATTTGAAGTTATATTATTAATATTTAAGTAAAATGATTTGTCATAATAAATACCTCCTTATCAAAATACAAATACAAACTATTTTTTATGAAACAAATAATGAATAACATAATAGTTTATTAAAAAAAGATATTTATACAAATATAATCACCATCTATAGTCACTTTCCTTTCTTATGCTTGAACGGTCCATTCATCTTACTTTTGTCTTTCTTCAGAGCGCCAAAATTCTGTTTCTTATTCTTTTTCTTCAAGTTCTTCTTAATTTTCTGGCCTAGTTTTATCGAAATATCGTTCTGGACAACACTTTCATCTTTTTTAACTTTTTCTTTTTGTTTTGGAGATACATTTACTTGATTGCCATTTTCTTTTGTTTTGCCATTTAATATTTTTTCTTTTATTCTTTTATCTTTTTTACCTTTTTCTTTTTGTTTTGGAGATACATTTACTTCATTGCCATATTCTTTAGTTTTGCCATTTAATATTTTGTCTTTAATTCTTTTATCTTTTTTACCTTTTTCTTTTGGTTTTGGAGATACTTTTGCTTTACTATCATTAATTTCTTTTGTTTTGCTAGTATTTACTACTTTTTCTTTAACCAATTTTTTGTTTTTTAACTTATTTCCTAATTTCAGTTTTTTTACTTTAACACTAGATGCTTCAATATTTTTGTCGTCACTATTTTTCTGCAGTTTTTTCTTTTTATTTGAAGTTTTAGATTTTTCAGAATCATCGTTTAGTTTCCTTTTTTTGTTTTCAATAATTTTTGTTTTTTGTTTTGTTTCTTTTTTATTTTTCTTTGAATCTGTATTTAAACTACTATCACTTTCCTCTTCAATACTCTCAATATTATCAAAGGTTTCTTCATCTATCTCATCAGAATCTGCACTTTTTGGTATAACATTTGAAAATTTTCTCAGCTTGGCTACAAAAAATCCATCCATGTTATGTTCATGGGGGTAAAAACGCCTTGTTAAATTTAATGTTGGATGAAACCTAAATAAAAAAGTATTCTACAAATATTACATAAAAAAATTAAAGAATAATTCATACCTTAAATGCCTATATTTAGTAAAACCTTCAGTTCCAAAACCTAAACCGGTATCTACCAATTTTACATTTCGTTTCTTCAATGCAAAATCTATAACCCATTCATTTTCTTCAGGCAAAACAGAGCATGTTGAATACACTATGTAACCTATTTAAAATCAGTTTAAATCAAAGTATATTCGCTAGAATAATTTTTATAATACCTCCAGTAGATGACTTTGCATTTACAGAGTCAATAGCAGCTAACAAGAGTTGTCTTTGAAGGTTATAACATCTTTGAATATCGGTTTCGTCTTTACTGGTCTTGACACTTTGATCTTTTGCTACCACACCAGTTCCTAAAAAATTTAAAATAGAAAAGTTTTAAAAAATATATTAATATTATATTTACCTGTACAAGGTGCATCTAACAGTACTCTATCAAAAAATAGTTTCATTAAACTTGGAAATTTTCGCCCATCCATACAGGTTATGACACTATTTACTATTCCTAAGCGATGAAAATTTCCCACTACAGCTTTTATACGATCTCTTAAATAATAATTAAAAAAATTAAAAATGATATATAAATATTATGAAGTAACCCATACTTGTTTAAATCATTGGCAAATAATACACCTGTATTTTTCATAACTGCTGAAATATGTGAAGCCTTTCCACCTGGAGCCGCTGCCATATCTAATATCTTTTCATTTTCTTGCGGTGCCAATGCAATCACTGGAAGAAAACTAGAAGCACCCTGTATCAAATAATGACCAGCTAAATATTCTGGAGTAGCACCAATTGGTACTTGTGAGGAATAAATTACTAATCCAACTTTTGACCATTTTCCTACTGGATCTAAATTAACACCCCTATTGATTAAAGCCTGTGCTAAGTCTCTTCTTCTGGTTTTTAAACTGTTCGTTCTGATAGTTAAAGGCCTTTGAACTTCGCTGGCTTCAAGAAATTGTAACAGCTCGGATAGTGGAAATAGCTGCATAAATCTCTCCATTAGAAATTCATTATAGCTGTAATAAGTACATAAGTCATTTCTAAGGATATCAATATATTCACCCCTTGAATGTTCAGAGTCCCGCAGTTTACTAAAATCAGAAAGGACCCTTATAATTTCACGAATCCTTTGTTGAACATCCTAAAACATTAATTCTCTTTATCAAATATTGCTATGTAATTGAAATTCTTGAAATACCTGTAGAGATTTAACTTCTTCCTCCGATTCCTTTGTGGGAAATTTAAACGTTTCTTGATCAGCAATATTTAACTGTAACTCTTCTTCGGCTTCCTTCTCTTGTTTTGCAAGTTTTTTCTTTAGTTTTATATTTTGTTTTTCAATGGGTAGCAAGTCTGAATCTAAAAATATTCTTCATATTATTTAAAAATAACTAATTTAATAGTTCACAATGCCTTTTGCATCGTCTGATTCATCATCTGAATCAAAATCATCATTCTCTTCATCTTCAGCTTCACTATCTGTTGCTATGTCACTTAAATTTCCTAACTTTACATTATCCTCCTCATCAGTTTCACTAATATTTGATTCAACTTCTGATTGTTCCTCTTCATTGTCACTAATATTTGATTCAACTTCTGATTGTTCCTCCTCATTGTCACTAATATTTGATTCAACTTCTGATTGTTCCTCCTCATTGTCACTAATATCTGATTCAACTTCTGATTGTTCTTCTAATTCCTATAACAATGGGCATATATCAAACTCCATACCAAATAACAGGTTGATCTACTCTACCTCATCAGTATCACTAGAATTTAATTTAATTAACTGCTTTTTAGGCTTGTTTTTAGGTTTAAGCCAAGAACTGTTTTCATCAGAAAATCCTTTAGCTTTACTTTGCTTCTTTGTCTTATTAGTAATATCTTTTGGGACATCATTATCTTCTTTCAATTCTAAATTAAAAGAATACTTCTATGATACCTGTTTAAACTAACATAAAAAACATGATACCTACCTTGGTTGTTTTCCCTCGCTTTCTTAATTTGTTCTCGTTTTTTAAGTCTCTTCTTTTGTCGAGCGCTTAATTTTTTATCGGATTTTTCAGTTTCTAAAATTATAATATGAATTGGTCCAGATTATGTTATATTGGAAGGAATAGAGAATGTTACCTATCAGTTCCTTGGGAAAGATTGGATCTTTCTGTTTCTTTGCCTTTCTTCCGGGCCCTTTCTTAACAATAACTCCTTCATTAAACTTGGCTTTTCTACCCATTATTATTTTTTTAAGCACGTGTTAAAAAATCTTCTGTAAAAATTTATATTTACCACGGTTTACATTTCAAAATGCTTAATTTCAATGGTTATGTCTAGATTCTTCTTCACTCAAAAAAATTAAGTTTTAAATTTTAGATCATATTCTAGACTTTCCCAATGCCTATTTTCTGAGTGATTCGAGGTCTGACGACTAGAAACATAAAACCAAAAGATGCAGGGCACTATATTTAAGCTTAAAATTAAAATGTTTTTAATAAAAACTAGAAAGGAAAGCAACGATAACTTTTTTATGTTGCTTTTTATCATATATAAAAGAGAAATCTTTATTCAAACGCCATTGAAATATCGAATTTGAAACTAACCAATTTCCTATGAGAAGAAAAATGTTTCCAACTCAAACTAACCAACGTTTTTTAAAAGTTTGAAAGAAAAGATTTTTTCGACCACCTGAAAATAGATATAAAATTCTAACAAATATCTAGGTATTTAGGCATAAGAATCAACACGAACATACTAAAATCGTGTAGGCAATTCTTTCTACCTGTTCCGTCTTCTATTGAAACAGAATTATGTTTCTAAATAGAAGTATTATTGGAGCTACATTTTTAAGAAGTTGTTTAGTGAAGAACAGTTCCACAACTAAAATTTGTAATAAAATAAAATGTTCAATAGAATCTCGACCTTTTTCGGCAGATATCCCTAAAACATCTTACGAGCACACAGCTGAAGCCATTACAAATAATGAAAGTAAGTAAATTAAATAGTAACGGTTACCACTATTGATTTCAGACATTTCATAATATAGTTTTCCTTTTTATAGTTATTTTCTTATAGACAATACAACTTCAGAAGTATCCAAGAGCAATAATGAATCAAGTAAAAGTGGAGACAGGGAGTTAGAGCATAAATTAAAAGTTTTAATGCTGGAGGCTGAAGTATTGAGACAGCAAGGCTTTTTAGTACCAGATGAATCTTATATGAAAGATGATATGTGGCAGCATCTTGTTGAACTACCAACAATCTCGTCTAGAAAAAAATATTTAGAATTTTTATTCAAATTATCTAAGAAACAAGAACATAGAAAAGTTAGTAGGTTTTAAGTTGTTTTTTAAATATAATTTTAAGTCTTAATTATAGATTAAACAAGTGGAAAAACAAAAGAAATTGGATGAATTTCGTGCAACAAATCCTCTAGAAGGGCTGAATGTTTTGACTATAGAGGAACATGCATCACAATATGGTCTAAAATATAATAACATGTTTCTCAGATTTTATGATACAATTATTAATCGCACATACAATCATAAATTATTTCAAGCAATGATGTTTGGTCAAAAACTAGTCATCGATTGTGGATATGAACAACATATGACTAAAAGGGAAAATTCTTATTGTGCAAAGCAACTTATGCTTTTATTTGCTGAGAACCGTTTCCATTCAGGTAGGTGAAGTAGATACAAAAAGTACCACTTCAAGACTTTGATTTTTAGATCCATTTGATATACATTACACAAATTACAATCGAAATTCGGACCTTGCAAAGTTATTTCACAAAAGCATACCTACTTTATATAATCCTGAATTTCCTGCAAATATTCACGAAAACAGCTATTTAAATGTATTTCCTAAAGAGAAATTGATTTATCTTACACCCCATTGCAGAGAAGAAATGGTATCATTTGATCACGAAGCAATTTATATTATTGGGGGTATTGTTGATAAGGTAATTAATATGACTTAGTATTTTTTAAGCTTAATATATAATATTTTTTGCAACTAGATAAATAATGAGCCCTTGTCAATGGCAAAGGCTAAGAGAGAAGGAATAAAAATGCTCAAGTTTCCTTTGGACAAGTATCTGTTATGGGGATCTGGATCAGGAAAAAGTCTGACTTTAAACCAGTGCGTCGCTGTGCTGTTGGACATAAAAAAGACTGGCGACTGGAAATATGCTTTAAGACACGTACCAAAAAGAAAACTTGCCGAAGTTATTGTTGATAAGCATGTGTCAAAATTTAAACCTGATTTCCCTGTAAAAAAAAATAATACATACAACACAAAAAAGACCTGGAAACCTAAATAATTTAGTTTATATTTGTTTAATATTTATACAATAATATTAAAATGTTTTTATAAAATGTTTATGTATTTTAATTTTTTTAAGAAATATTTAATCTCTTCTAACTCTGGATATTTAGTTCAGTCATTGGGGATTTTTGCTTGGAAAAAAGTCCGGAAATTTTGCAACTTTGCAGGTTTATAGGTTTTGCGGTCCCTAACTAATATCTGCTAATATCCGAAACTGCGTTTGTTGAATATTTCGAAAACTGCGATTTTCGCGAAAATTTGAGGAGAGCAAAATTAAAGAGAATAAAATTTCCTATAAAAAAGGTTTTATGAAAATGTTTGCTAAAGTCAACCGTTTAGGCACAAAATCCCTGGAAATTTTACAATTTTCCGTAAAATATGATATACTATCAATATTATGTATAGTCGATTTTCCGAAATCAAATGTCGATTAGGGTTCATCAAAACTAGTTTTAGTTCAGTTTCTTCAATTTTGTCATGAAACAGTAGCGTTTCATTAATTCGCTCATTAATTTATGATTAATTAATAATTTTAATTATTGTAAATGTGTACTTGTTTCCACACCACCCAAGAAGTAAAGTACTTGGCGCGTTTATTTTAACGTGGTCTCCCCGGAGACCTACTTCCAGGGGCGGCTTGTCCTATGAGGCAGATGAGGCAGTGCCTCACCAATACATTTGAAAAATTACACGTATTAATCGATACATCTTTAATCACAATTTTATATTTTTTCCCTATTTGCATCAATAATAATTGTATTTTTTAACCGTCATTCTACAATAAATTACGTCGATGGTATTCCTTTAAACGCGCTTCCTTTCCCATATTTGCCCATATGCGACAAACTCGACGATGTATATCCATCTCATTTGTTCTTTAAGAAGTATATGTGCAGAGGTTTGCCTCTCGCCTTTCCTTGTCTAGCGTATTGTGGTATATCGCACTGACGATGCGACAGCGTTCACTGGAATCTTAACTCTATAGAATGAAAAGAAAAAGCATAGGCAAAACCTTTAGTTGAAGAGAGATAAAATGTATGGAGTAGTAGCGCGTAAAAAAACCGTATTGAGGCGAGCCTCAAATGTAAATTTGAACCTTATAAGCCGTTCGTTAAAAATATGTATCACTTCCCGATCAGCCCGAGAGATTTTAGGCGACAGGCTGAAAATGCAGAATTGCATTATTTGGGAATTTGGCTTACTTTGAATCAGAGTTTGAATCAATTCTGCCGGTTATTACAGTGTTTTGTCTACGTTTTTTAATGTGAATTGCATGTTTAATTACTCTTTTTACTGATTATTGTACATATTAAGTAAATACCTAAAAAGTGGGCAGTGACTTATTGTTGATTGATATGATGATTTAGAGGGACCATGTATCATCAGAAGACTTCCCCAGGTAAAGTTTTTCGAATCATTTCTCGATAAATTGTGTATAGTCAAAAAGTAAAGCGACCTGTACAGATTCCGTTTTGTTTTATTTTTATAGGATGGGTAGAAAAACAAAATTTTACCATACAGAGTAAAATATAAGAGAAAATATCCTGAGGTCGCTTTGATAAAAAATTTACTGTTGCAATGGCCCTATGTAATAGGTTGTCAATCAAATTGTTGATTGTTTGACTATGTTTTTTTTTTAAATGTATGATGTACCTTTTTTATTAATTTGGTCGTTTTGTATATTTTATATGTGTGTGTTTGTATTTCTTGATTTTTTTTTTCATATAATGAGTTGGACACGAATAAATAAATAAACCGTATGATCGAGAAAAAACGGCTTCAGCGTTGGCTATGAAATGAAGATCGCTGTCATTTTATATGTAAATTTATATGGGAAATGTCATCGATCGTCATTTCCCAGCCAACTGGACGCCGTTTTTTTTCGATCATACGGTATAATACTGCGAATTATATTACATAAGGCTATTTCCGCAACTGCTAAAAATTTAGAAATATTTTAAATACAAAAATGTGCGCTTTTTAAGTCTGTAGGTATCTAAAATACTAAAAATAATATACAGTGTGTATTGCATTTAAAAAAAACTGAGATATAGCATTATAATATTGCAATGTTGGCCGCGCCATAAAAAAATCCCTGTGAATGTGAATTTTTCTCGGATTTCTTCTTTTATCCTACATACCTCGCTATAGTATACGTACTTAAGCAATAATATATCAATAAGTTAAATTCACTCCAGGTTTTTACCACTTTTTAAAAGATGAAATTTTTCAAATATGAATTATCATGGAAATCCCGCATACATAGTGCTTCAAATAAATCAATAGTGTGATGTATGCTGAATTTTATGCTGAACCCAATTTTGTACAGAAAAATGGTAATGCGATTGTAATTTTAAAGAAAATATTTTTTTAGGATATGTACTTTTTTTATATAGAACTTCCTCGTACTAATGGCCACCCTATATACATACTAATAAAAATTCTCTTCTAATGTGCCTCACCATCTTCCAGTGCTACGAGCCGCCCCTGCCTACTTCCTAGGTAAATTAAAAACTTTAACTTATCTGCACAAGCCCGACCGATCTGGCTCATTGATGTGAAGGCCGCCAGAGGGATATCTACAGGCAAGTCCAACTCCTCTTCATCGGATTCGTCGAGTGACACTTCAGTGACGTTGTCACAGGATTTCCCATTGCAATATGCACAAATCATTGAATATTTTAATCCTGCTTTTCTGCATCCGCAGGCTTTACCACAGTTGTTGGTTATGCATTTACAGGATAAAAATGTCAATAGGGATTTTGGAGCTGGATCTTTCAAAGTTGTGACAGGAGTAATGCCTGTTTTTGTTTTCTTCCAACCCCATTCTTCGGCATCTTTGGTACAACCAGACCAATGCTGAACCTGGTGGTAAATTCGCAATGAATGCTGTCCAGCACCACAATTAATTATTCATAAATTAATGAGCGAATTAATGATACGCCACTGTTTCATGACAAAATTGAAGAAACTTAATTTTTAACTAGTTTTAGTGAACACTAATCAACATTTGATTTCGGAAAATCGACTATTATGTATATTACACTTTACGCAAAATTGTAAAATTTCCAGGGATTTTTTGCCTAAACGGTTGACTTTAGCGAAAATTTTCATATAGCTTTTTATAGGAAATTTTATTCTCTTTAATTTTGCTCTCTCCATTATTTTGCGAAAAACGCATAGTTTTCGAGATATTTACAAAATACCGATTTTGGGCGCCATCTTGGCAAGCTGGCGGCAAGTCTGGAAATGTGCATTTTATGGATTTTAGTTAGGGACCCCAGAACCTATAAACCTGCAAAGTTTCAAAACTTCCGGACATTTTTCCAAGCAGGCTCCTTTTTTGATCCCCAATGACTAATTCTACAACTAATTCTCCAAGTTATTTAGAATTTTTTACATCTATGTACGAATAAATTATAAAAATGTTAATTTTCAGACTAGCAACTTTGTTGTAAAGGTCTATACAAAGCAAAAATTTTAATTAACACAAAAAAGTCCTGGAAACTTAATTAATTTAGTTTATATTCGTTAAATATGTACACAATAATATTAAAATGTTTTTATAAAGTATTTTGATCGAGAAATACTTAATTTCTTCTTCTCCTAACTCGGGATATTCTCCAAGCATTAGGTTCCTCGTACTTGTTATACAATGGTTCGAGCCTTTGATTCTTTTTGAATTTACTGAGTTTGGTCGGATCGGAAAATTTAAAGAATGCCGGTGCAAATTCGACCAACCATTTAGGATCTATTGTAGTAACTTCGCGCATGTATTCCTTTGTGGTGCAGACTAATTCGTGATAGATAACCCTAAAAAATTACCAATATTTTTTATTATCTCGCACAGTGTATACTTAAAACATACTTAAAATAAAGTCTGTCCAACGAGTCGGGGAAGTTTTCGACAGACGACGTCCAAAAAAATACAGAAAATAAAATTTACCTGTGCAGTAAAATGACAGACATGCCTATCCACTCGTTGGACAGACTATAGTTTCAAAATAAAACAAAACGTCAAATACAGGGTATGCTAAAAAGTTCACAAATTCCTTAATAATTTTTTGAACAATTGGCGAATGTTTTTGAACAGCCTACATGCTGGCAACTCTTACTTTTGGGTCGGTATTTACATGTGTGGAAGTAAATCGTATAGGGATCTTATTAAGTTGGAGTGAGAGAAATGCGACGGTGTGCTGTTGCGACGTTGCCACATTTCGCCAGTACGCCTTTCGCTATCATGTAAAGTAAAATCACGATTGCAAACCCCTTATTATTAAAAGACTCTTTTTCGAAAACATAACTAGATAAAATCATTAGATATGTTTCTGAGCATCTGAAATGGAATTATAAGGATATCGTAGTGTCCATATTTTTTATAACAAGAAAACGTCAGTAATCACGATTATTCAAAAACTTAACTTTTTAACACATAACACGCGATAACTCAAGAACCACTTTAGATATTGAAACGTTTTTTTTTATTTTGAAGTTCGGATCTTTTACAAGATGTTTAAATGAGAAAAATTTGATAGGCTTGTTTTTTTTTCCACTAAAAAATTAAAAAAAAACGTCCATTTACTTTAGTGCATAGTAATTTTCAATCGTGTAACTTTTATTTATAAAGATTTTCGCATACTGACTGCGAAGAAAATATAGCAGAAATATTAAGAAATTTTTTGAAAAAAACTATTTCTAATGGATTTTGAGATATCGACTTTTGAATTCAGAGTTCTAATAGCGCGACCACTGTCGAACACCAACTCATTTCCACTTATTTTTCCAAAACTGCAACTGTCTCTAACTTGCACTTAAAAAATTGCAAGCTATAGGGAAAATTACAACGTCTGGTTAATAAATAAACAAATAAAGTATCACAAGACGTAATTAAATCGATTGGGTCGACCGCGACGAAATCTGCTGTATCCCCTTCCACGTCCAATATGCACAGATTCTCGGTTTATTTCATACGTTTGGCAACGCTTTTACTGTTCTCTTTTTGTTCAGTACATTATAATCGCATTGTACTGTTTTTACATACGGAAATCTGGACCCAAGACTAACCTTTGCCAGCCCTTAGTATACAAATTTTCAAAAATTAATTTAACAACTTACCACTCAGGTTGCCTATTAAATAACGCACTAGACGGGTGTATGTAGACAACTTGACTGTCCACCAACGTTCTATATCCTTCCTGTGGATCTTTCTTCGCGGCATTTCTGAAGAAACCTGAACAAATAGCTTTCTGCACTCTTACACTGTTTCTATCAGCGGACACGACATCAAGCTTATGCCTGTCCATGATTCCCAAAAGCTGTTTTCGCACGTCCTGGGCCCTCTTCAGCGTCCGAATTTGTACGAAATTTTCGTAACACCACGCATTAGAGAACTTGTTGTTTTTCCAACTGTTGTAGACGGCCAATAGGGTTAAGTGGTCGCCTTCAGGCTGATTGAATTTGGCCTTTTTTTGATCGGCCAACGCTTGTTTATCTTTAGGTCGGTAGAATACGTTCTGAACGGACAACATGCTAACGATCGTAAGGATTTCGTCGGAGCATTGTAAGGCGACAGACATGATCAGCATTTTTGATAAGTTAGGTTCAAGAGGAAATTCAGCCATCTAAAATAAACAGTTACTAGAATGAATATATAGGATTTATTTTTTTTTTAATCAATGAGAATATACCGGGTGCGTCTCGAAATTGGCCCATCCCTATATCTTTATTTTTTTCAGATAAAAAACGAGATTTTGTATGTTAGTATATGACATAAATTAAGATTGATTGTCGTATTCACTTGTTTTTGGTCATTTCCTGTTTCACCGGAAATGACTACAATTTTTTTTAATGGCACCCTTGGTATATTTCTACTTTTGTGAACTGTGACATATTTTGGAAAATTTGACTGTGTCAAGGAGCCTTGGAAAAATAGTTTTGATCATCTAAAGTTTTTCGTGTCTTGTCCTGGCTGGTTAAAAGATGCCCAAATCGTATTTTTAATCATATCTCAAGTTTTTGAAGTGGAAAAAGGGTGGCTCGTTAGCCAATAAATTTTTTTTACAAGTAATTTGGTACCACCCACATGGTATTTCGAGTCAAACTGCCGTTATGAACAGCACGTTACAATTTCAAATAAACCATACACGAAAATGTCAAAATTTGACATATAATATGTCATTTTATTCAGAGTGTCATTTTCTACCGAATAAAGTAGAAATATACCGAGGTTGTCATTTAAAAATTAAAAGTTGTAGTCATTTCCGGTGAAACAAGAAGTGACCAAAAACAATTGAATACACAATCAATCCTAGTTTATGTCATATACTAACATACCAAATCTCGCTTCTTTATCTGAACCAATGTTGAGACGCACCCGGTATAGAGTAACTCGAAAAAGTTGCATAAATTTCAATAGAATTCTATCTATTTTTAGCACTCAGTGGATTTGCCATTAAAATGCCATTCCAAAAATACCATAATGTCATATTCTATACAATGGTTTTTTAAAAATGGCTATTTTTAAATTAAATTTTCTGCACCTACAAAAGTACTACTAAAATTATATGTATATTACCGAAATACACTTGTATGTTTTGATTGAAAATATTTTATAAAAGTCCTCTTTTCAAAACTTGGTGTATTGAAAAACACTAATGTAGCATGATATATACAACGTGCGTCAAAACATGTTTATGTTTTGATAAATTACTTTTATATCCAAATAATAGTTCGCCAAGTGGAAAATTCAAATGTCTCCAACTAATTCTCAATAATTTTTCTTGCAGATAGGTATATTTTTTAGTGGCAAACGCCTACTATTAAAAGGGCAAAAGAAAAGTGTTGAAAAAAACATGATATAGAGGCTTTTCAGAATACTGGGTCACCCTGTATAAACAATATGATTGAAAATAAACTGCACAAGTTAGCTTGGAAATAACCATTGGCCTCATGCAATTTCGAAAAACGCTGTTATCTCGATCGTATGGTACCCGTTTTAAAGCGATTTTTTAAACTGCCGTCATTTTTACTGGATATGATACATGACAAATTGATTTTATAAATTTAATATTCATCATCATCATCATCATCTAGCCTTTTATCTTGTCAATTGCTGAACATAGGCCACCCGTAATTTTAATATTAATAATATATTACTGTAAAAAATCTATATATTAAAATATCTATCTAAAATTTCTATAAATCAATATTTCTAGAAATTCAAAATTACACTGTTGGTTAAACAAAATTATTAAAAATATAATTACCCTTCTTCCTAGTCTTGTCAATAGTCCCTCATCATCTAATGCTGACAGCGAATGTAACTGTTCTAGCGCCATTATCAAGGACTCTACTGGTGGGGCATCCATAAAATCAAAATGTAACAAATCATTTATTCCCATTGTTTTCAACTGAAGAACCTAAAATAATTATTGTGGTTAAGAAAAATAAAGTTCGTTACTAAAAAAAACAAATACAAAACATACCGTAGTTGCAAGATTAGTTCGCTGAATTTCAGGTACAGGAGTAGGTAACATCTCATCCCTATATGCCCTTTCGGTATAAAGCCTGTAACATTTTCCAGGACCTGTACGCCCCGCTCTACCCGCTCTTTGTTTGGCTTGGGCCTAAAAGTATGTTTTAACTTTGTTATTAGTTATTAAAGTTAAATAATTAAAATAAACTTCAATATTACATATTTTAATTCAATAAAATTAGAATAAAGTTCAACAGGTTTCCTAAATTGTTGCAATTTGTTTTAGAATAAAATTTAGATTTTCGCTCTGCCTTTAAAATTCAAAGTTGGGAGATAATAAAGTAAGTAAAGTAAGAACAATAAAGTAAGAAGTTTCAGCCTTCCAGAGCGGCGAATGATATACCGGGTGCGTCTCAAAAGTGGCTCATCCATATAACTTTTTTATCTTTTCAGTTAAAAAAACGTGAGTTGGTATATTAGTACATGACGTAAATTAGGATTAACCTTTGAATAAGAAGACTTTAAGGAAGGAGCATAATGCTATCCATGTATTCATGCATGGTGGGCGGAAAAAGCACTCTAGGGTGGGGATCCTTGACAGTTCTGTTTGACGATTCATTTGGCACATTTGAATTTGATTTGAAATTTTGTGGATTTGTCAGTCTTTACGAAGCTTATTTTATGTTATTTATTATTTATTCTACTACTGATAGTTGTATAAAGGTAGTAAATCTAGATGGAAATTGTGACAGAACTTAAATTAACAGTGACACTATCGCGATTTATCGAAAAAGACTCTAAAATCGTTGGTTGTGTAGCGTGCGGTAGATCTCGGCAAAAATTGAGTGAAATAATGAAACAACTTTTCGCTAGTAAGTGACTATATAATATACATACGTGTAGTAAACCGATCATTTATGAAATTCACTTATATTAACTAATTATATATTTTTTCTTGCATTTTTGCTTTTATTTACTACTTGTCAAAGATTAGATGTCAAAGAATTTAGATACGTCAATTTTACTTACCTGCTTCAGTAGCGTATCGGATGTTTGTGTTAATAAATAATCATTAAAACTTATCTATTTTTATTATAATAATATGTTTTTATAACAATTTTAATAACTACCAGCATTTATTCACAACGTAAAATAAAAAAAAATATTGAGGCTACCCCACGTCTACCCTACATCACAGTTTTACATTTTTTAAATAAAACTAGAACGGCACTGTCAAACCGGAATTTAAATCGGCCATATTTGAATCCCATCGCGGTGGACCTAAGATTTTTGATATTTATGCTCCTTCCTTCGTCTTCTTATTCAAAGGGGGTGACCCACTATCAAGACGCACCCGGTATATATTTATAATTAATTTACCTGTGAAATTGGAGTAACCACCAAAGAATCCATACCAGTCTTAGAATTATACACTTTTTGTTTCACGAACCCTGGATCGACGACATAGAATATTCCATCGATGGTGAGGGATGTTTCTGCAATATTTGTAGCAATAACAACTTTTCTGCTACCTGGAGGTGCAGGTTCGAAAATTCTTGTTTGCATCTCCGACGGTAAAGCAGAATATACCGGTAAAATTATCAGTTCAGGCACATCAGAACCTAAAGTCATAAAAATTAAATTAAATTTAGTACGTCGTTATTTTTGGTATCTTATATGCTACTTTAACCATATACCTACCTAAAGACTTCATTCTTTCATAAAGAATTTCACATGCTGTATCAATTTCCTCCTGACCAGTTAAGAACAATAATACGTCACCTGGTGGTTCTCTCAAATGAATTTGCATAACCGTGATTAAACTGGCATCTAAATAATCGGTTTCTGGTTCTTTAGTGTATAAAACTTCCACAGGAAAGGTTCTTCCTATAAATCAGAAACAAGAAACAATGACTAGTTTGAAGTAGTAAAATTAATTAACTCTAAAATTAATTCAGATAAAAAGAACATCTTCAAAATCACATGACAGTAAATTTCATGAAGGCTATAACATTTAAAAGGTATACGGAAAAATAGAAATAGTATTAAAATGAAATGTTTTCCTAAGAATTGTTGCACTTGAACATACCTGGGATAGTAAAAATTGGTGCTTCAAAAAAATACTGAGAAAATTTAACTGCGTCCAATGTGGCCGATGTTACAATGAGCTTGAGCTCTGGTCTCTTTGTAACAGCCTGCTTCAGTAGTCCAAAAAGTACATCAGTATGAATAGTTCTTTCATGAGCCTCATCTAACATGATGACTGAGTATCCCTTTAAGTCTAAATCCATCAGACATTCTCTCAGCAACATACCGTCAGTCATGTATCTATAAAAATATTACTATTAAATTATTAATTATCTACAGCATATAATCGAACAAAAAACAACAAAGATACTGCTAGATTAGTTCTATAGAACTAAAGCCCAATCTAAGGGCTCTAACTCACTGACGACCAGGTCGCAACGACCTGGCCGTCGACTGGCCGGATGCATTGCGTTTATAGCTGCGGCCAGATGAACGACCAGTTTCAACAGAGTTGTCAGATCTAACGATTTTTTACGTTTTACCAATTGGAAAATATTGTTTCAGAAAGAATTAAGTTTCAGAAATGTTAAAATATCCGAGTTAACTAAAAAGCGAAGTTGCTATTCATGAGCTTATTAAATGTTCTAATATTAAATAATGCATTTAAGATATTCTTGGATTTTTCGTTAATCAATACTTAACTGGTTTGGTATGGAGTAAGTAAAATCTCCAACCCCGACTACACGATAACGTCGTTATTTCCATGTTTTTCAAATCCGCGATGCCTGCTGTTCCATTAGTCGTTTCATAACAGAATATTCTACATCCTACGTCTATGTAATTTAATATGTGTAGAGTGAAACATGTAACTCGTGAGATTTTTAGCATTATATCAATAAAGGACAAAAACAGTATTGTTCCTAAAGGTGCGTCCAGACTTGAGCATTTTAGCCCGAACGAACCGAGCGCGCACGAACAAGCAGTACAAATAGGCCGAACAAAAAGCATTGTGTACGCGCCACCGATAAAAGGGGAGATATTCTGTTTCTTTTTTCTACTGATATGGACTTCTACTGATGGCTCTTATCGACTTTAAAAGTAAACATATTAGAGCCATCGTAAAAAAGGTCGCCAGACACTGGCTCTAAATATAAGCAGGTAGAAAGTTTAGCTTCCGGTTATTTCAATGTTTACAATATAAATTCCTCTTTTTTATTGTTACTGAGAATCTACAACAGTAAATACTTCTATTTTTATGAATGTTTAAGTTACTTTTACTCTTAATTTTTTTTTAAATAATGTACCTAGTAGAAATATAGTCTAATGGACCCTGTTTGAAAAACGTTAAATTAAATATAATATTTAAAATACAGTTGTCCTCCTTGTACAGGGTGGGTCAAATTCGACGCTTTTAAATGGAAACACCCTTTTCTATAGGAGATAGACGAAAATTAATATCGGTGTCTGGAGCTCAATTTTCACCAAAAACATGATGGTGAAAACCGCACATCAATATCTGTTACCGTTTCGGAGTTACGGGGTGTTTCTCAAAAATGTGCATTTTTAACAAATCGCTGTAACTTTTTTGCTATCGAAAATTTTGTATTTCTATAAAAACATTTCCAAAGCACCTTTTTACCTAGAATTTAATGGTTTAAGTATAATTTTTTTAAAATTAATAATTTAAGAATTATCAACAGAAAAGTTGATTTTTATATGGGACACCCTGTGTATTTTTAATTTATTGAAAATAATTTAAAATTACCTTTCCAAAAATATAACACACTTGATATTTTGCTCGATCCCTCTTCGAGTTATAGAGTATATAAAAATTCGCCCGCTTTATCAACAGAAAAATTGATTTTTTATTTGGGACAATATTTTTAATTAACTGAAAAGAATTTAAAATTACCTTTTCAAAAATATAGCACACTTGATAGTTTGTTATAATCCCCTTCGAAATACAGAATTTTTAAAAGTTCGCCACCTTTAACTAGTAGGCTTTGGACCCTTTATTGATGATATGCCCATAATGGAACTTGAAAACATATTTTTTCCAGCAAGACGACGCACCGCCTCTGATCGCTGAAGTTATCAGCAAATTTTTGCATCCAATTTCAAGAATAATTGAATAGCCAACCAAGATTCCAGCCGTTGGCCGTCGGGGCCGCCTGACTTAGTGCCCATGAATCTAATCCTATCGATATATTGGCGGAAAAATAAAGGTTCCTTATTCTTCCGTATAATCTAGACAAGAATTAGAAATACTTAGCAGTTATGAGAGGGTATCTTTCACCCCTACTGAGTTAATGAATTCCGCGAGAAATGTTCAAAAACTGCCCCGTCTGTCCATAACAGAAGACGGTCGATATGTCGAACACCTATAGCAAAATCTCATGTCTTGGTTTGCTATTTATTTTTCTTGTTATTAGATATAGTTTAAATGTGTTGATATTGATTAAATATATTTTAAATAGTTATAAAACTCTGCATCTCTCATAGCAAATATTATTTTTGTTTTAATTGATGCTCACAGCTAGATTTTTTGCATTACAGCCGGTGGCGTTCAAAGCCTACTCATTTAAAGGGGGCGAATTTTTATATACTCTATAACTCGAAGAGGGATCGAGCAAAATATCAAGTGTGTTATATTTTTGGAAAGGTAATTTTAAATTATTTTCAATAAATTAAAAATACACAGGGTGTCCCATATAAAAATCAACTTTTCTGTTGATAATTCTTAAATTATTAATTTTAAAAAAATTATACTTAAACCATTAAATTCTACGTAAAAAGGTGCTTTGGAAATGTTTTCATAAAAATACAAAATTTTCCATAACAAAAAAGTTACAGCGATTTGTTAAAAGTGCATATTTTTGAAAAACACCCCGTAACTCCGAAACGGTAACAGATATCGATATGCGGTTTTCACTATCATGTTTCTGACAAAAATTGTGCTCCAGACACCATATTAGTTTTCGTCTATCTCCTATAGAAAAGGGTGTTTCCATTTAAAAGCGTCGAATTTGACCCACCCTGTACATGACTACAATATAACTAAAAAAAACTAATTTAATAAAAAAAACAAGTGGTTGTAGAAAAACTTTAAATATGATTTTTTTTTATTTTTTAACATCGAAACTCGAAGGTATAATAACACGTATCATACCAACCATAAATAGAGTATGTCATATAAAAATGTTTTGAATTTTTAATAGAATCGACCCATGATAAAAAAAGGGACTACCTAGATTTAAGTTTCCCTTTGATCCAGTCTGTATACTATTTCTTTGGATTTTCTGCACGTGTGCAAAAACTATAGTAAATTCAACCCCAAGGTGCACCTAACGTAAACAGTGACATGAGGCAAGCACGTGAACAGGAACTGTAGTAATATAACCAGGACCGCACTAAGGTCGGATATTTCAAATCATAAAATTATTATGTATATTTTTATGATTTTTTTTACTATTGCTTATGTTTTATGATGAAAATTTATATTATTTAATTGGGTAATTATTGGGAAAACTGGAAATCGTCCGATTTTCACCAAAATTGGTATACACTCTATTTTGAGGTCGTAGATTGTTTGTTGTCGAATCTAAACCAACCAGCGACCTCTTACCGTTTTTCAGAAAAACGGAAAATAATTTCAACATTGAATTCTTCTTTATTTAGCTCTATAAAGTAATAATTTCATTATATTTTCATTATATCATAGTTTATCTAAAAGCCACACTTGATTGAGGATAGAAAAATATCCAAAATTTTATTGAAAAACACTTTTCTTAACAAAATAACAAAGAAAATTGAGACCAGATGTAAGTTTCACATTTCATATATGCTTCTTTCTCTCTCCTATGTAATGCGAGAGATAAATATATTCTAGACCTAATCTAGAAATTTGAAATTTTACAACGTTGCCATATCTTGTATTTTTTCGGGTGATTAGGGATTTTAAATAAATTACCTATTATGAGATCTGACAATAGTTAAATATACCTATATCCACAAAGTTACGCGAAAGAGTTTTGATTGCATTGCTTTCAACTTCTATGCGGAGCATATAATATATCTATGATGCAGAGAATTGGTTAAAAAAGTAACAAAAAATAGCAAAAACCTCATTGTTTATTGAATACCTAACAAAATATGTGCTAGAAAACCTTAAAAATATGAGAAATTAAGAAAAATTCTATGTTGAGACTATTTTCCGTTTTTCTGAAAACCGCCGCGAAAAGAGACCGCCAGGAAAAAAAGTTCAGATTCGTAATCTACAACTTCAAAATAGGGTGTATACCAATATTGGTGAAAATCGGACGATTTCCAGTTTTCCCAATAATTACCTTTAATTGTTATCAAACTACATAAAATTTGTGAAATAAAGTGATGGGAAGGGGGCGAGGATATTAAAATATTACATTATTCTTTGGCACGACCGATTTTAACAAATTTGATGTTTTTTAAAAGGGCTTAATTTGTCCTTTAAAATAATTATCTTTGGTACTACTGATTTTTTTATTGCCATTATTGACAGCAATATCTGAATATCGGTATAAATAGGTATCTGTTTCTATAATACTATTTGCAAAAAAATGCAATGATGTAAACGTTTTACATAATTTAATACATTTTTGTTTACTAAAAAAGCACTTAGTTCTAACTTACTTTCGTAGCCTGCTGTATTATCCGTTTTAAAGTCTAACGACATATTTTTTGAAAAAAAAAATTATTTTATCAAATTTTTATTTTATCAAAGAGTATTCCTTAACGCGCTATGCAAGCCGACCCTGTAAAAAACCTCAACCGCCTACCCATAGACAAACTAACAAAAGCAAGACTTTTCAAAGGATTGAGGAAGTCGAATTATTGTTTTTGCGCTGGCCAGTTGAGTCAGAAATCATCGCGCAGTCGCACTCGTCAAACCTAACCTAAATAAAACGAAAAACGTTTTTGCCTTGAACCATCCTTGAACGAACTGTTGAATTCCTGATTTTGCGTTTTGTTTGGTTATTACTATTATTTTATTAGCGTACAAAACGAAAACAAATAATTTAATACATTTTACATTTATGAAGAACATAATAATTACTGTGATTATACATATTATTGTGATTACATCGCTAACGTAGACAAAACGAAGGTCCTACAAATTGACTGTAAGTTATAAGAATCTTTATCTTTTTAATCTTTTTATGATTTGAATTTTCGTGCTTTATATTTTATAATAGACTCGAAAAAATATTTTTGCAAATTCTTGTGAAAATGTGAAGTTTATGTTTTTGTTTTATATTTGAAAAAGTTGTATATTTTTAAGATGTTTCTTGTTGTTCCTATTATTAATATTATAATATACATAATTATTTTTTGTACCTTTTGAAGAATAATGCTTTTATTTCGTTTACCATAACTGTTGTTTTTATCATCTTTTTGTTATTTTAATAAGAGGAATACGTTTTCGTTTATTTAACTTTTGTTTTTATATCTGTTATGTCCAGAAATTATTGTTTATTTTACCGATGGAAATAAATTTATTTGATTTTAATAAACGCTTTTTAATTAAACATCCTTGTCTAAAAAGCTACTACAAAATACACAATCCATAAGTAAACCGTCCTCGTCTAAAAGGCCAGTTGACGCAAGCGCGGTAATAAACTCTTATCAAACTTGTTACCGTTTTGCAGTACAGCGTTGACGCGTCTTGCTTTTGTTAGTTTGTCTATGCGCCTACCTCAACGGCTCTATGGCTGGCCGGCCAATCAGGGTAAATTTCGCCTCTGGCTCTCGCCTGACACGTGCTGATCACGCATTGTGCATTTGTTTATACTGGTGCATTTTGAATTTGAATACGGTTTACACTAAAACACTATATCTTATAGAAAATAAAATATTGTGCGTTGAATTTGAGGGATTTCATCTGAAAAATTATTAATTTGGAAGAAAACCGGCAACAAGCGGCAGAAAATAATATTTTAGTGCAGTCTACTGGTCGCAACGACCAACGGACGGCCAGGACGTTAGTATGCGCCGTATCATTTGATTTAATGGTTTTAGTGGTAGCAGCGGCCTGGCCAGTGCGACCTGGTCGTCAGTGTGTTCGAGCCCTAAATAAAATGACTAATAATGAATAAAGTGAAGTAAAATTAAATAAAATTACCGAATATCGTCTACAGAACTGCCGTCAATTGTCTAGACTAACATCCGTTTTAACTGGCCGGCAAAACCGACAGGTAAAACGTTATGTGTAGACAGGGCTTTAAATCTACGTATTGCCAACTAAAATACTGACTTTATAATGGTTTCAGGGCTGGTGCAATCCTCAAAACGGATGGTGTATCCAACCTCTTGACCCAATCTACAACCGAATTCTTCAGCTACTCTTTTAGCCACAGACATAGCTGCAACACGACGTGGTTGCGTACATCCGATTTTGCCTCTTGCTGTAAACCCTTCTTCTGCTAAATACTGAGTTATTTGAGTCGTTTTTCCTGAACCAGTCTCACCAATGACAATCAGAATTTGATTATCAGTAACCGCCTGAAATCATTCATAAAAATATTGTACAAAGTATAAAAAATTATACACAAAAACATACCTTACGAAGTTCCTCTTTCAGTTTATATATAGGCAGCGACTGTCTTTGTTCTATGATAGAAAGGTTCGTTTTTTTACCAAAGGAAGATTTTTTCCCACCAATAATGTGTTTCTTCCATTCTGGTAAGTCTTGGGACTGCAAACCAATTCCCCTTGCTGACACATCTTTGGATTCCTCTACAAAAATCAATAAATACTATTATAAATATTTAAAAAATAAAGAATTGCATTAAAATACCTTCAGGCAAAGGATCTATCCAAGTTTTATTTTTACCAGAGGGTTGTGAATCAACTTCGGCTTCTCTTTGAAGCATTTTTTGTTCGCGTCTTTCTTTTGCTAGTGCTGACTGCATCATAGCTGCTTGAGCAAGGGATCCATCAGGATTCTTAACAATTCTGTAAAAAATATTGTAGTTAAAATTTAGAAGTTAATATTAATACTTTATACAGGGTTCGGCAATAGTGCGGGTATCTGTAGCTCCTAGAATAAAAAACCTGTGAATGTTTTAACTTCTATAAAAAGGTTCAAAAAAGTGTGAGTGGTTCGGGCTAATTTTTTTAAATGGAACACCCTGTATATTACTGCATTTTTGGCTTCCTTTCAGATCACTTTACATAATCCTAAGATATGAGTAAATATATTTCGATAGTTTCAGAGATATTAATAAATAAATAAGAAATATATATTTTTCAGGCTTTCTTAAAAAAATGCTTAAACATACAAGAACTGTCCTGAAATCTAAACTGTATTAAGTATTTACTTTCGATAGTCTGTACTTTGCTATAAATATGGTAATCGTAAATCATACAGGATGTTCAAAATTCTACGCCAAACTTTCTAAATATAAAATAATTTTTTTCGTTTTTTTTTAATGGAATACCCTGTATATTATTTTTTCAATAGATGGAGAATTAAAAGATGAACATTTTTTGTATTTAGAATATTTCAAAATTTTTAACGGTTTCGCAGATATTCGTGGTTTTATACTTCATATGGCATTTTAATAATAATAATAATTATAATCGTCTTTATTGAAGAAAAAAGATGTGTAACATGACATATATTAAAATAATATATATATTTAACAATAAATGTTATTTTTTTATAGTTTTCCACAGGAAATTTTTATCAAAACCACCCCCAATTATTTTTCTCTCGTATTTTACCGTTGAAAGATCCATATGAAATAATACTGTGTGTATCTGCGAAACCACTAAAAATTTTGAAATGCTTTAAATTCAAAAAATGTTCATTTTTTAACTTTCCATCTAATAAAAAAATAATATACAGGGTGTTCCGTTAAAAAAAAAGAAAAATTATTTTATATTTTAGTAAGTTTGGCGTACAATTTTGAACACCCTGTATGATTTAAGATTACAATATTTATAGTAAAATATAGACTATCTAAAGTAAATAGCTAATATAGTTTCGATTTCAGGAGAGTTCTTGTGTTTGTAATAATTTTTTACGGAGAGCTGACAAATATATTATATTTTTTATGTATTTATTAATATCTATCTCTGAAATTATGGAAATATATTTACTTGTATCTTAGGATTATGTAAAGTGATATGAAAGAAAGCCAAAAATGCAATAATATACAGGGTGTTCCGTTTAAAAGAAATCATCCCAAACTACTCACATTTTTTAAGCCACCCTATAAAAGTTAAAATATTTTCCTGAAATACATCCTCGTACATACTTTAGGTCTGCACTTATACAAAATTCTCAAGTTTTTTATTCTAGGAGCTAAAGATGCCCGATGTACTATTGCCAGACCCTGTATACGATATTTACCTGACAGGACTTAGGTCATGCAAAGCTCTACCATGACCTTGCAGAAATGGAGGCTCGTCTTCTACTAATTCAATTTCAATGTCTGCTTCACCATCCTCTTCATCTTTGGGAAGGAGTCCAGTTTCATCATCAAAGTCAGGCAATTCGCTTTTGTCTATACATCCAGAAGATATCATCTAAAATTGTATAAGAATAAATACATAATACAAGTTATTTCTAACTACACATTTTTGCTGTATACATATATGTATTTTAGTGTTATCAATACAGCAAATAAATATTTTAAATAATAACACATACCTGTTTTATTTCCCACCTTTCAGGACTTGATATCCTGGTAACCCTTTTTCTAGAATCTTCTTCACCTTCATCTAGATTTACAGGAAGTCTCAGTACTGATGTGCTGCTATGCATTGGTCTATCCGGATTACGATCTTAAATATAGTTTATATAAGAAATAATAATAAATAGAAAAATATTTAGTCATACCTTTGTCTTCTCTTTCAGCTGGAGCATGAGATAATGGATTCAAATCTTTTCCTGTGAGTTGGTCTACATCTTTCATAGATAGAGAAACTTTCTGTCCAGTAACAGATAATACTTTCACCTGTAAAATACACAGTTAGTCATATTATTAAAGGAATATATGTGAAAGCTTACTTTGACTTTACCACCTCTAGATACAACTTCCGATACTTGTGTTACCCGGCCTTCGGCTCTCAACTGTGAAATATGAACCAAGCCTTCCCATCGTCGTCTTAATCCTTCTAATTGAACAAAGCATCCAAATGGAACAATATTGGCCACCTTTCCATTATAAATCTAGCCCAATTGGAAAAATCTAAATAAGTAATCTTAGAATAGAGAAAAAAGATAAGCTTAAATTACCTTTCCTGGCACGGGATCTTCATCTAACTCTGGATTCCCCTTTTCAGACTTAAACTTCCTATCTGTGCTCTTATCTCTATTTCTACCCCTGGAATGACTTCTATCCCTCCTATCTTTAGACCTTCTTCTTTCTCTTGACCTACTTCTTCTATCTCTTCTTCTGTCACGGCCCCTGTAATGATCTCTGTCCCTATCTCTATCTCTAGATCTATCTCTGATTCTGTTTCTTCTGTTTTCTCGTGACCTATCTCTTCTTCTATCCCTTGATCTGGATCTTGATTTATCTCTATGGCGAGACCTAGATCTAAAAAGTTAAAATATATAATGGTATTCAAATTTGTCTAAAAATATGACAAAGCAACTTACCTGTGTCTATCCCTTTCTGTTTCTTTGGATTTAGTTTTCTTAACAGCAGAAGGAGCATCTGCTTCAAATTGTGCCATAAGATCGGCTACAATATCACCTTCTTCATTATTAGTCTCTTCATCTTTTTCCACTTCATCATCACTTAGAGGTTTTTGCGGCTCGTTTGGAAGAGCAAGGCCCGGAAATTTTTGAGCTAAAAAGCTTTTTTCAATTTTATCTTCATCGTTTATTTCGCTGGAAGCATCTTTGGTTTTGGGCCTCATGTGTTGAATAATTCGAAGCAAATTTGAGACGAATGAATCTGAAAACTCTGCTCCATTTTCTGTCAGGGCTTTCTTGAATGTATCCACAGTATTATTTTTCTCCGATAGAAATATTATAAATTCAGCTAAAACGTTAGATTTTAGAAGAGATTTCGGCCTTATATCATTTTTCAACTCACCCAAATCTTTATCATTCATACCCAAATGATTCTCTAGTTCTGTACATATTTTGGACACTAAAGAAAGATATTCCAATTTTTTTACTTCATCCATCTTAAAAAACTTTACTGAAAATAGTCGCAATGTTTGAAAATATAGGTATTTTACACGGGTATTTTACAACAATCTATGTATTGTTTTTTTTCGTTTCCTAAATAAAAATAGGTTATGTTTAGATAAAATAGATCATTTCCAGACTGTATAATTAGTTGCCTATCTTGACGACATGGATAAGAATATTACAATAGAAAATAAACACAATATTTTGATATTGTATATTGATTGGTATATTGTATATTATGTTTGATTATGTTATTTAATTTAAATATAAAAGCGCACTTCTTGCTTTTTGTATTATTTTCTCATACATTATTTTAATCGCAAGTTAAGTCATTAATAATATTGACAAGTTTGTCACAAATTACATTATGTAGGTATAATCTTTTTCTTTTCCATTTATCCAGCATCATAGATCAATTATATTCTTCATGTAATGGTTATTATTTGTACGAAAAAATTCTGCCTTCCAACTATCCAGGAACGATTATTATACAAATTGAAAATACGCAAGGAAGATGAGGTACTTGACTCAAATTATCACACTGAACAATTATGAAAATATGCATATTTTAGACAGTGGAAGAATTTTTGAAAAAACTGAAAGAAAAAAGAGATCCTGAAAGAAGTCCACAAATCCTTTCTGGAACATCAATTCCTAACTCCACATTTAGAAGCATTTATAATAATGATTCCCTACATAAAAAGAAAGAAATTAGTAGCACCTTTGGTAGCACTGTATTTGGAAAAAATAATGAAATCAAAGTCATCAAAGCAAGTGAAATGCCGGTTTATTACAAAATTGTTGAATTTACTCATTTACCTACGTTATTAGGAAAGCAAAGATTCTGCACAAAGTAAACAAAGTGTAACGTCTTCAGCCAGAAGTTTAAAAATGAACATGAGATCAATGGAAAAAAGCTCAGTCGAAGTAAAATAATCTGTTTAAATTTGTTCTTTCATATTGATATTATTGGACTAATAACAATTTATTCGATACTTTTTAATATTAAAAAAAATCCTTTTAGAGGGAACAAAACAAATCTCATACATCATCAAGTTTATTTGGTTCTAGCTCATTTGAGGAATTAAAAGAGATGCGAAATTTATTGAACAGATCAACTTATTTACCGAAAGAGGTATAAAATACCAAAATATAATTAGTTATTATTAGTTTTTATTTATTTTTTTATTTTTTTTAATATATCATTATTTTTAATTATTTTTTTTATTTTTTTTGTTTTTTTTTAATTTTTAATTTTTTTTTAATTTTTATTTTTATTATTTTTTACATTTTTATTATTTTTAATTTTTTTTTAATTTCTTATATATTTTTTTTATTATTATTTTTTTATTTTTTTATCATTTTTATTTTATTTTTTTTTATTAGTCAGAACACATTCTATAATGTTTATATTATTTATTAATAAAATATAAAAAAAACCATTTTAAGATATCTTTTAAATATAAATAGTATAAATAGAGCTTAATTTAAAAGATACCTACCATTTAACCAACGTTAAAATTTTAGAACAAAACTCGGCGCCCGACCATAGAAAAAATAAAGAGCGCAATAAAAAAAGAAAAACAAAATTTAAACGACAAAAGTGAGAGCACCGGCAGTGATATGATTCTTCTGAGCGATGCCTCAACGTCCACTGCCAAGAAAAAGAAGACTAAAACAAAGAAAACTACATCAAAGACAATTATTAGAGAAAAAACTTCAAAAAGAAAATATTACAAGAAGGGAAAGAAAAAAATCATCGAAAAAATAGATATAGAAATTCAGTGTCTTATAAAAGAAGACGAGGATAATAAAGGTTGAAATGTGTAATAGTATATTATAATTACATAATTTGCCTTTGCTACTTATGTTTTATTCTTTTAAAATCTACAAAAAAAATCCTGCGTATTAGTGTGATATATACTGTGCATAACTAATAACTATAAACACAGCCTTATTCATAGCCAGACTGCCGACTTACAATCAATTGCCTGGAAACTTCCGTGCCACCCAAGAACAGTTAACCTAATAGGACTGCTCATTCAGCCAAAAGTGTCCGCCAGGTGCATGCGAAAACTACTGGCTTTGTGACGTCATTGTAGTCCTTGTCATGGTTATTAGTGGTTATTAGTCCTTATCCGGCAACCAATAATACACACACGTGCATTATTGGTTGCCGGCTGCAAAACGTTCATTATTTAGTTTATTATTTAAACACCTTATATGTATGCAGTATAGAAAATTAACTGTATAAATCGTATTAAATACTCGGATAATGCATTTTTAAGAACAGCAGTTCCCAGCATCACCTTTTGCAAGCATTCTTTTTAGAGTACTTCCATATTTTGCTTTAAAATCATTATAAACAATATCGTGGACACTTAGTAAGCACTTTGTCACGATCCACAACACAAAATGAACGTATTTATACACTCTATAGCTCTAAAAACTTTAAAGACACCTTTTTCACATTTAAAATTGACAAAATAATTAACTCAAAATTTCTCAGCTGTTATTTTTATAAGTTTACCATAGGTAACTAATAATACAAGTTATCATGACAAGGCTTTGACAAGGACTACAATGACGTCACAACTGTCAGCTGAAGCGCGGGAAGAGGCGAACGTACGTCTTATGAGGATGAGCAATCCTATTAGTTTACCGTTTTTGCGTGCCACCTAGAGTACGTTCCACTAAGCACTCATAACGTTCACGCTCAAAATCGCGATTTTTCCCGTTCCACTTGCTTGCGAGCATTACAATCATAAACTCAAGTGGAATGGGTTATGGAGCATTCTAAGCGTCAATCCTGTCAATATATGTAAATAGTAAATATATGAGTAAATAATACTCAAAATCACAGAAGAGAATTCAAAAAATCTGTCTCAAAAAAAAAAAGAAATCAAAATGTCTTTGGCGACAGTTGGATATTTTGTGCATCGGAATGTGTCTGAAATTTCTTCATCTAGTTCAGACGAATAGTGGAATGCAATTTTCCAAAATCGCGATCGTAAAAAGCGAAAACTTAGGTCACGTATTATTGGCTATGAGAATTCTATGAAAATTCTTATCGTAAGTCGGTAATCTTTTGTCAAAGTTTTAAAAATTGCGCCAAAATTCCTCAACGTCCACTTCGATCCTAATATTCAGATGGGTCGTTGTGAGCTCGGCGTGAGCGAAAATAATGACGTCATTAGTGACGTTTTCGCCGCGACCACAACGTCCGCGATCGTCATGTGGAACGACCGAAGGCATATTTTGAGCATTATGAGCGCTTAGTGGAACGCACTCCTAGATATTCGTTTATTTTACGTTATGAAACATTCAAAAACAAGCGAATATGACCAGCTGCTATACTGAATAAGCTGTGGTTGAAATAAGTGTACAATTTTGGTATTAGTGTACTTATTATGCTTAAGCAGTAATAAAATGGGTATATGAATCAGAAAGGTTTTAAACTAGAGAAATTTATATTAATTTTATTACTATAATAGTTTTTCTCTTGAAAATTGAACAACATATTGAAATCTGAAAAAAATGAGTAAATTATATTTTCAAAAAAATAGCGTGAATTGAATATAAATTAATTTTACACAGAAGTGTTCTTAATCAGAGCAAATATCGAATATGATGTTTTAATTATCTGAAAGAAAAAATAAAATAATTATTTCATTTTAAACAATGAAATTTAACTTACATATACAAAGGTTGATAATGTTAAGGGTGAAAATTTTCCCACTGTAAAATAAACAGGTCTTTTAACTCTTAACATAGTGAATACGAGACTTTTCTTAAAAGATGTGTTTGTTGCAAGCCAGTTACTATTCCAGATGTTAACTGAAATCTCCTGAAACTGAAATATAAGAAACCATAAATTAGTTTATTCTAAAACTTAATATGTGAACACAGATTTTTCATAACCAGCCTGTCCACTTACGGTTATATGCAGGGAAATTTGAACTAACTAAGGAAGAAGCATATCAGAAATCTTAGGTACACCGCGATGGGCCTCAAATATGGCCGACTTAAATTCCGGTTTATCAGTGTCGTTCTAATTTTATTTAAAAAATGTAAAACTATGATGTAGGGTAGACGTGGGGTAGACTCAATAATTTGTTGTTTTATTTTACGTTGTGAATAAATGTTGGTAGTTATTAAAATTGTTATAAAAATATATAATTCTAATAAAATAGATAAGTTATAATAAGTATTTATTACCACAAACATCCGATACGCTACTGAAGCAGGTAAGTCAAATTAACGTATCTAAATTCTTTGACATCCAATCTTTGACAAGTAATAAATAAAAGCTAAAATGCAAGAAAAATATATAATTTAGTTAATTTAAGTGAATTTCATAAATGATCGGTTTACTACACGTATGTATATTATATAGTCACTTACTAGCGAAAAGTTGTTCCATTATTTCACTCAATTTTTACCGAGATCTACCGCACGCTACACAATCAACTATTTTAGAGTCTTTTTCGATAAATCGCGATAGTGTCACTGTTAATTTAAGTGCTGCCACAATTTCCATCTAGATTTACTACCTTTATGCAACTATCAGTAGTAGAATAAATAATAAATAACATAAAATAAGCTCCGTAAAGACTGACAAATCCACAAAATTTCAAATCAAATTCAAATGTGTCAAATGAATCGTCAAACAGAACTGTCAAGGATCCCCACCCTAGAGTGCTTTTATGGTGCTTTTTCCGCCCACCATGCATGAATACATGGATAGCATTATGCTCCTTCCTTAGTCTTCTTATTCAAAGGAAATTACCCAGATATGTGCTAATGTGCTTATCTGATATATACAATACAGGGTGAGTCTCGAATAAATGCAAATGTTTTTGGGATAGTATTGTGATAGTATATTTTGACTACAGAAACGTGATTTAATGATTATGAGGTTTTATCCGCGAAAAAATTCTTGATTTTTTTTTTAGTTTTTTTAAAGTAAAATATCTTATTTTGGAGGTATTTCAAAAACGATAAAGAGAAAATATGTTTCTTTTATCAAGATCTACCAGCCCTGAAAATGTTTGCACTTATTTAGGACTCACACTATACAGAGTGTCCGGAAATTAATGCAACAAAATTTGGTCGTAGATTGAAAAAAAGAATAGGTGACCCGTATTTTTTATTTTTGGCGAGTGGCCTCCCTTTTCGGATTTACAGCCTTCTGAATTTCGCCACTAAAAAGAGTTTTTTTTTAATATCTCAGGGCCCTGTTGGACGAAAATCACTAAATTTGGTACACGTTGTTTTACCATAAAATGACATTTTTTGATGCTATTAAGTTTTTTTTGTTTTCATCAGTGGCGTCCCTACGGCATTTAAACTAAATATTATTGAAGAAAAAAATGGTACGCCACTGATTTTCTTTAAATAAAAATTATTTTTAGAAACTACATTAAATTTGGAACAACTCTATCCCTTGGCTTTTTTTCGTACGATTGACCGTTTTCGCGTAAAAAAATAAAAACCATTTTTATACATGACTAAATCGCTAAAATTTTACCGGAAATTTCAATGGCAAAATTTTTAAAACGGCAAACGTAAGTTTAAAATAATTTTTTGTTTTCCAAAATCTTGTTTTTATAACCCAAGTGCGAACCAAAATGTCCAAAAACCTAAACTGCCGTTTTTTAAATTTTGCTATGAAAATTTACATTAAAGTTTTAGCGATTTGGTCGTGTATCAAAATGGTTTTTATTTTTTTACGCGAAAACGGTGCGTCGTACAAAAAAAAATCAAAGATAAAGTTGTTCCAAATTTAATGTAGATTTTAAAAATAATTTTTATTTAAAAAAACAGTGGCGTACCATTTTTTTCTTCAATAATATTTAGTTTAAATGCCGTAGGGACGCCACTGATGAAAATAAAAAAAGTTAATAGCATCAAAAAATGTCATTTTATAGTAAAACAACACGTACCAAATTTAGTGATTTTCGTAGTAAAATAAAAATTGCGGGTCACCTATTTTTTTTTTCAAGAATCTATGACCAAATTTTGTTGCACTAATTTTCGGACACCCTGTATAACAAGTCAGGACTTCATTAAAACTTCTTTTTAGAAAAAAAAAGAGAATTATGCTTTGACTGGCATTACGAGAATAGACGTAGATACTCAAAAGTAAGCGAAAATGACCAGATGGTACTGAAAAAGCTGTAAAGTGAAAACTAAGTAACAAGAATATTAATACTTTTAAAATAAAATGGTACAGTGGTTTATGTTTTTTGGTAGTCTATACCACAGACTAATTGTGTCTATACAAATTTTGTAAGTTATACCTCTAAAGTAACTTCGTTTCCAAAAGAACAGTACAGATATAATTGAAAAAACATTGCAGCCATGTAAACGCACTCAGCTATAAACTGTTTACTCAGTGGCGGTGCCTGAAAACGTTGATACAATATTAAAAATAAAATAAAAATATATATTTGATGAGTCCTTCAACGAACCCCAAACTTACAATTTGTAAAAATCTAATCGTTTAGCTACAATACTCCGTGTCGTATGTGGTGAACATCCCTGTATATTTAATTCAATATTTTAAGCCTTTTTTTCAAATTTAGTTAAGTTGGTTTATGTAGTTGCTCGTGTAGTTGGGTGTGAATTTTAAGTTATTTATATTTTTTTCTTTGCTTGTGTTAAAATTAAATTTCTCGTTACTAATTACTTAATAATTTGATGATATTTTCATTAAAAATCTTTATTTAAATTGATTTCTTTGGAAAACCATCCCATGCTTTCTGATTGATGAATTACATCGTCATTGAACAAAAATTAGTTAGCATCGAAAATACCGAAAAACCCGGGAAATCCCGGTTTCTAACAAGCGCGGCAGCGGTATCGAAATTCCCGGTTCCGAAAAACACTTCCGATTCCGGAAATCCTACTGTTGAAACAGTGATTGGGGTCAATTGAAACGTATGCAAGTAATATTCAAATATATTTTATTCAATGTTAATTCTAACAATAAGTATGACAAAGTGGTCAGTCTTCAGTATTTTAATATCCATAAAAATAATTCTAATTTAAATACTATTACTACCCACAAAAAATGTTTTAACAATTCACAAACTCTCCTTTGGTAAAAGGCAGTTTATAGTTATTGTAATTTATAGTAATAATAATAACATTAAAACAACATTAAAACCAAAATTAAAACTAACCTTAATTTTGTATTCTATAGGGTTCACTTAAATGACAAATAAACACTCAATATGATCACTTAAATAGATGACATGATAATAACAAAAATTTAAAAAGAAAAATACTTTTAGGCATCAACATACCAATATGGCCTCTTATACACAAACACAGCATGCGGTGAGCGGATTCAAACACAGATTCATGTTTGAATCTGTCACACGTCATACGCTACCTATAGTATAATAGCCTGTAGACAAGGGCGGATACAGGAATTTATTTTAGAGGGGAGGCAAATAAAAATTAATAAAACAGAAAACAAATTTCTTGCAGTAGAGGTATATAATAAAATTATATAAAGATTCTTGCCACTTAACTGCTAATATAGAAATTTAATTCTACGCTGTGTTTGTCATAATGCGGATCAACCTGCTCTCACTACCGGTTTCGGAGCCCTACTCCATCATCAGGTGAGCGTGGGAGATCCACAAAATGACAGAAGTGTCTAGCCCTAGCCGTCAACTTTTAAGCTTGACCAATCAGGTTGGTTAGCTTGGTTATTTGAAGTGTGTTAATTCATTTGTGTTTGTCAAAAACTCTAACGTGATTGGTCGGGCTTAATAGTTGCCTGCTAGGGCTAGACACAAGTCAAAATGACAAACACAGCGCAGAGATAGTTAATTCCGACTTGTCGGAAAGTATCGGTTAGATATTAAGTCCCAAACGGGAGATAACGGCCTGCGTGCAATGGTAGTACTTTCGTACCACCGAGGCGCAACTATCGATAGTAAATGGATGGTAAAAGGCTTTTTTTCAGGCAAGCCATATCATAAAATAGAAACTCTAACATTAAAAAAAATGAAGGCTGCTATTAAACTTGGAATCTAGAATCTACTACGGCAGATTAATAAAACTGCGTTCAAATTCAAAGAGATCGGAATCGACAAAATATCAAATGACTACTTTTAATCGTTTTTAAACGGCCTATACAATATTGCTAAAAGAGAAAAACAAGCAGTGGCGCACATGATTTATTTAGTAAATTATTCCGGTGATAGTCCATACGCACGTCCCTGGTGAATCTGTCGACACATTTTTATCATTAAAATATGTAATACTAATACTCAAAGTAACTTTAAGAACTATACCGGGTGCGTCTCAAAAGTGGCTCACCCTTGTAACTTTTTTATTTTTTCAGTTAAAAAAACGATATTTGGTATGTTAGTATATGACATAAATTAGGATTGATTGGCGTATTCAATTGTTTTCGGTCAATTCCTGTTTCACCGGAAATTACTACAACTTTTGATTTTTAAATGGCACCCTCGGTATATTTCTACTTTATTCGATTGAAAATCATACTCTGAATAGAATGAGATATCATATGTCAACTTTTGACATTTTCGCATATAGTATAAATATATATAAATTATAAGATGCGATTTATAACAAAAATTTGACTCGAAATACCAAGTGTGTGGTATCAAATTATTCGTAAAAAAATGCTTTTTCTAAATATGCTAATGAGCCACCCTTGTTCCATTTGAGATATGAATTGAGATATGATACTTATATACGATTTGGGTATATTCTAACGGGCCAGGGAAAGACACTAAAAACATTAGACCATCAAATCTATTTTTCCAAGGCTCCTTGATTAAAAATTAGTGTTTTTAACATATAGTCATATGACACTCTATAGATTGAAATTTAAAATACGATTTTTTTAAAGCGAAAATGTTAAAAGTTGACATATATGTATGATATGTCATACTATTCAGAATACCATTTTCTATCGAATAAAGTAAAATAAAAGTAAGTAAAAAAAAAGTGACCAAAAACAAATGAATACGTCAATCAATCCTAATTTATGTCATATATACTAACATACCAAATATCGTTTTTTTATCTGAAAAAATGAAAAAGTTATAGGGTTGAGCCACTTTTGCGAGGCACCCGGTATGAGAAAAAACTCCATTTTTTAATACCACGCCCAAAAAAAAATAGAAATTGAGACCTCTCTAACAGCCGTAATCGTTTCTTGTTCAAAAGCCATCCCTGAAATTAAGTTATTTTTTATACTCACCTTGCAGCTCTCATAATGATATTTGGGATCTTCTAAAGTCTGCATTATTTTTCTCAGACAATTACCCTTAAAATACCAGAAAATAACTTTTACAGCCCCCATAAAATGGGTGAGAAAAAAATTCACGTTTTTTATCAAAGGATATTCATCCTTGTAGGTAGAGAATAACGAGCCAAACTCGGTGGACGTAAACCATAAATTTACAAAAAGAAACACGACAATAACGTAAACTCTATACAAAAGTTGAATAGTTTTATTTGTGGTGTCCGGTTTCCAAAGACCAGCGCATTTTAACATCCAACGATTAATTTTGAAGAAGTCTTTCGCGTACGGTATTTCTGTCATGATTCACACACCTCATATATGTATCCAAAAATGAAAGGGGTAAAATTTTATTTTCGTTAAATATTCTCTTTGAAATATATTTTCTGGTTATCCTCGACGATTATTTTGTATATTAGAGACAATTATGGAGCAAATTTTACCACCTAATAAATCAAAGGAGTTTTGTGGGAAAATTACTGTTACTTTTTTTTCTTTACTACCTAATTTATTAGTAGGGCAAAATAACAAAAAATTACGCTTCAGCCAAACTGCCTGAAAACAGACGATCACTATTGTTAAGCGACGTTAAAAAAATGATGGAGTTTTACGAGCTATTGTCTGTAAAATACCAACGTACTTTAACAAATGTAAAGAGTGTAAAATCTATTGAAAGCAGTATAAGTAGTAGTAATTTACGCCGATTTATAGTGAAAAAAACCTGTGTTATTCCTAAATAACAGTCGTAACTTACTGTTGCTAAAAATAACGTCTCAAAATAACAGTTTTTTATTATTTATGGACTTTTACAGAGGCGGATTATAGTACAAGCCGACCAATGTAATTTAATATGTGTAGAGTGAGACATGTAACTCGTGAGATTTTCAGCATTATATCAATAAAGGGCAAAAACAGTATTGTTCCTAAAGGCGCGTCCAGACTTTGGCATTTTAGCCCGAACGAACCGAGCGCGCACGAACAAGCAGAACAAATAGGCCGAACAAAAAGCATTGTGTACGCGCGACCGACAAAAAGGGAGATATTCTGTTTCTTTTTTTCTACTAATATGGACTTCTACTGATGGCTCTTATCGACTTTAGAAGTAAATAAATATTAGGGGCATCGTAAAAAAAAGTCGTCAGACACTGGCTCTAAATATAAGCAGGTAGAAAGTTTAGCTTGCAGTTATTTCAATGTTTATAATATAAATTCCTCTTTTTTATTGTTACTGAGAAACTACAACAGTAAATATTTCTATTTTTATGAATGTTTAAGTTTTACTCTTAATTTTTTTTTTTTTAATAATGTACCCAGTAGAAATATACCCAAGCAGCATTTGGACGTCGGGACAACGTTGTGTCACGCGACCAAACGTCGGGGCGCAACGTCGGCACAACCTCGTGCCAACCCTAGTCTGCACTAGTTTGGAGAATAATTTTTGGGTCGAAACGACGTTGGATACCGACGTTGGCTAGAAGCCTAATTTAGTACAAACTGCAACGTTGTTTAAAATCCTAATTCACAGAAATACAAAACTAATATGGCGTCTAAGTCGCGTTTTATCCTAAATTGGGATAATTATAGTAAAAATATTATATTTATAATTTAGTTAGAGACATATGTCAGATGGCAGTGAAGGAAAACAAAACAAAAGTATTTAAGTGTGGAGGATGTTTGAAGATCATAATTATTGAAACACTTTAACCGACTCTGTAACTCGTTACCCAAGGTAAAAAGTTAAACGCAAACAACTTTATTGATAAATGTATTGTTTCTACTTTAAAAAATACTAATGGGCCTTGAAATTAAAGAAGTTTTAAAAATTTTCTTGAATTTTTTTTTTAGTAAAATGAGAATAATTTATTCGCATTCGAAAAAATTGTTTCCGCGTATTTTTTAGGGTCAAATATTTCAAGTTAATGTATTCAAAAAGCAGGAATTGCTATTTTAAGAACGAAACATTTTCTTATTTAACAACATGGCGGCTTTAACTTTGTTGTTTTGGAGATTAAGATGGAGTAGTTCGAGTAGTCGCATACTGGACTAATAAAGTCGCAGTTCGGCCTTAACAGGTAGTATACTAGTCGCAAGATTGCCTAATTTAGTCATTCTAGAGTCTAGCTTGTGCCGCCCTCTATAATCTAAATAAACGAGGAAGTGTCGGTAATATATGTCGATGTATATTTAAATTTAGTTTTATATGTACCTTTCTTATGTCCCATTTTAATTAAGTTTTTTTTTTATAAAAACAAAAACAGCACTGAACTGTCTGACTGAACAGAACAATGAATTGAAAATTTAAGATTTAAGGTTATGGTTCAATACAGTTGCAAAAAGGTAGTGACTCTACGTCCTACCAACGTAAGAATAAGGAAATCTAAACAACGTTGGAATTAGTAAAACAGACGACGTTTGCATAACGTTGGAATAGGTCCTGAAACTGACGTCGGAAAACTCTATATTATCCAACGTTGTAACTACGTTGTCCAAATCACCTAAAGATCACTTAAGCAAAAAAGGTTACAAGACAACGTTTATTCGACGTCGCAGAAGCTTCCTACTTTGCTGTAGTACTAGTCCAACGTCGGCACAACGTTATAAAAACGTTTAAATTTATTTTAATACCCAAGGTAGGGAGCTAACTATTTTTTGTAACTAATCCAACGTTGTGATTAGTAAATATGTGGTCGCAAGTCGTGAAAATGCTACTTGGGTAGTCTAATGAACCCTGTTTGAAAAACGTTAAATTAAATATAATATTTAAAATACAGTTGTCCTCCTTGTATATGACTACAATACAACTAAAAATAATAATTTAATAAAAAAAACAAGTGGTTGTAGAAAAACGTTAAATATGATTTTTTTATTTTTTAACATCGAAACTCGAACATATAATAACAGGTGTCATACCAACCATAAATAGAGTATGTCATATAAAAATGTTTTGAATTTTTACTAGAATCGACCCTTGATAAAAAAGGGACTAGATTTAAGTTTCTCTTTGATCCAGTCTGTATACTATTTCTTTGGATTTTCTGCACGTGTGCAAAAACTACACTAAAACACTATATCTTATAGAAAATAAAATATTGTGCGTTGATTTTGAGGGATTTCATCTGAAAAATTACTAATTTCGAAGAAAACCGGCAACAAGCGGCAGAAAATTATAATATTTTATGGCAGTCTACTGGTCGCAACGACCAACGGACGGCCAGGACGTTAGTGTGCGCGGTATCATTCCCAAGTAACACAACTTGCTTTTTAAAAGCTGAGAGAACTACTACATTACTAAATTATCCAGCTTAATGATTTATTATTTGTACTATACAACGTTCTGTCAGACCTAACATAGTGCTTATATACCCAAAATAGGCACACTTTATAAAGCTACTTTAATAAAGATTTTATTTTACCCTTAAACAGTATCTAGTACAATCTAGTGTAAATTGGTAGTTTTATAATCGACTATAAAGTACATTATAAAGCATATATAAATCAAATATAAAGCTTTTTCCCGCGGTTTTTAAGCTTTATAATTGTCCATTATAAATCAGGTATATTATGGTATGTAATTCCTCAACTATAAAACCGATATATAAGTACTTTATAAATACTCTAACAATGTCACTAGATTGCTGTATACTCAACTAAAAAGCTTTTCAGTCGTATATAGAGTAAACGTAGAAAAATTTGGTTTTTTAATTGGTATTTTATGGATGTCGCTCTCGCTGATTCTTTTCATATAACCTGCTAAATAATTATATTAAACATGAGTGTTGTATCACGACCTCTGTAGCATATGCTTCCATGACAGCTGGAATGCTGGAAAAGAAACATCTTTTGGTGAGGCTATATTATAATACTTATTTTAAAGGTGTGTGTAGAATATAAAATTTACTTGCGACGGAAATGTGTCTGATAAAGTTTATAGTTTTAGCTCTAAATTCATCAATGCGCCTTGAAAATAATCAAAAATAAATAATTTTATTAAAAATATTTTTTTTGACGAAAATTGGAATCTTCATTTTTTAGTTTGTAAGGTGTTCCTAGATGTTAAACTCTTATTCCTTAATCCAGAAAGTTATGAAAACACATACCAATTACGCACGAAACGGAATAATAAGTAATTTATTTGTGTTATGTAACAATGGCGGCACTAATCATCTTGAGAATATTAAATGGTGACGTGCAAGCCATTCAAAATTGAAATGGTTGCGAAATAGTCTATTAAACGGTCCTTACATAGCCATTTTTTCAAGGTTTGTTTTATAACTTCTTTATTTGTGCTTTATAAAAGGAGAGCGAGCCTCTAGAGCTTCATACAATGATGTACAGAGGGCGCTAATGGCATTGTTGTCACTTTTGGCTTTATAAGGGTGCAACAACACACTATTTTAACACTATCACGTTAACAAACAGATAGTGGCTATTTACCCGTTTGATGTAAAAATATCCAATTCTTTTAATTTAAGTATTTCTGTAATATGCTTTTATTGTTCTGGCTTATGTGTTTTAAAATATTTATTCATTATTCTTTTTATTTACTGCCAGCTGCGCTGTACATGTAGCACTTTTATTGTCAAAAACGTCATGCGAATTGGGATCTCATCACCGACACGTCGGACGTGTATTCAGTAACTTCCGGAAAAGAATGTAAACAAAAAGTGACCCTGACCGCTGGCAACTGGCTTTTTCTTTTAAATGTGTGATTTTATTATTGTTTTGGATGATGAATTGATAATAAAAAGGTAGGATATGGAATAGACTAAGTATTTACTAGTAAATACTTAATTCCCGGGCACTTATTTATGAAGCTGAGTCTTTTTTTATGATTTGTAGCATGTTCAAAATAGTGCAAACTGTAGAAAGGGGGCAAAAGCGGTTGTGCTCCGTTCCCGAAAAATGGGAAAATGCGGGATTTCTATACTGGCCCAAATCAAAAGCAGACAAATTTATTATAGAAGGTAGCTCGGCTCCTTCAAGCGATTGGCTTGAGATGAATTGCGTTTTAAAGAGGAATATTGCGACAAAAAAGAAAAAAACAAAAGTGCTGCTTCCTAAAGCATCCCGAGTAGAAACTTAAACAATCAAGTCCAGTTTTTTTTACATGAATACAAACAAAATTGGGCCACAAATCAAAAAATTTAAAATGTAAACAACAAGTCTATATACACAGATAACAATGTTATCTGTGCTATATTTATACTTAAGCATCCAAAGCCCACGACAAAATGGCTGCATGCTAATATGGATATCCCTGTTTTAGGGTAATATTATTGCGTTACTGACTACTTTAAAAAACCTTTTACATAACTACTATATCCCAGTAATACAGCGTATTTTCTTAATAAGTTATCAAATGAAAGACATATTAATAAAGCCTTTATAAAGACTCTCTATAGTGGCGTTAGATAGAAGCATATTGAGCTAAAAATACCCAAATTACTCCATAATGGCTTTATAAAAGAGTTTAATTTAATAATAAAAAAAGGGTTTTAGTGGCTTTATTTGTGCATTATATAGTCGCTTATAAACCAATTATGCAGGCAAAACGCAAAAAATTCTCTAACAGCTGTGGATGTCACTTTTATAAAGGCTTATTGGAGCAAATATATAAAAGATATATTATTTAGCTCTAAGACGGTTCTAACAGCTATATTAAAAAGCTCTATTGCTTAAAAAACTATTTAGTGTAGACTAACACTTTTATAAAGTTATTAAAGTCCCTCAGACTCCTTTATAAAACAGTTATAAAGATTAAAGCGATATGAAAGAGCACCTTTGTGTTACTTGGGTTTGATTCAATGGTTTTAGAGGTAGCAGCGGCTTGGCCGGTGCGACCTGGTCGTCAGTGTGTTCGAGCCATAAGCGTCTACTTGTGCGGTTTGAACTTTTGATGCAAAACCCGGCAATACCGCATAGAAGAAATGTATCAACCCAACTTTGATCTCTTTTTAATATATTTGATTTTCCATTAAGCTGCCTACATCACTGTCTGACACGTTAAAATCCAGACCACATTTCTAAAATGGCCAAGTCGGTATACAACAGAATATTTGATTTAAAATAATACAAAAAAAACATTACATTTAGTATTTTTTATTAACAAATACAAAAATATTTAAACAGAATACAATAGATTTTATTTATACCACATTTATATCTTTATCAGTATACAGTATTTTTATGTCGTGCTGAAATATTCGAAAATATCCCTGAAATATGAAAATCGTTACTGTTGATCGAATAAAAATGTAATCAATATCGAAAAACAGACACATAAGACTCTTGTTTACAATAAAACATATTTTTAGACTCCATATGTCCGGGTATTCGGATATTTCCGGTAAATTTTAATATTAAATATTGAAGATATTTTTCCCAGGTATTTTTATATTATAAATCATAAAATAATAGATCCCTTATATAAAATACTTTTCGAGCAGATGTAAAATAACAGTATGAATCTTAGGAGTTCAGTAATAAACAGGAAAATAAATAAAAATTTGTGGTTTTCGAATAAATAGTTCATACTTTTAATTCACCTCCAAAAGTCAAATATACAACTTGACTTCTAAATAAAGATAAAATTTTTGGAAAGTCTCTTTACACATTATATACATACTATCTACAAATTATACAAATAAGTTCAATATTCATTAAAGAAAAAAAGGTATTTTATAATAGCTTAGTTGCCCTTAAATTATCACATTTATTCTTTTCCACAAATAAAACTTGTTGGCTTGTAAAATGAGATAAAAAATATATATATCGGCTTTTCACAGTTAATATTTAGGCACGTGGCTTGGCAGTTGTATACATAATATATATCTATTGGTAAATATATCATAAAATACAATATTATAAACCGTCTATTTTTCGTTGTGAAAAAAATGAGATAATGTTCGCATTTTTATTGCAAAAGTATTTGTGCTACTATTGACAAATCCTTATTGTTTAAACAATGAAATACCTCACAGACAAACTGATAAACTTTTATCGCTACAGAATGAAAGTGACTAACACAAAAAAGTAATTTTTGGAAAAATCATGTAGCCTATAGTTTTAAATTATAAATTTGACATAATAATGAATAACGGTAATAAATGAATTATTTTTTATCGTCTACTTCATCCTGTTAACAAAATGAGTAAGACTTTTATTGCTTGAAATATGCGTAAGCTAAAAATGTATATTAGCAAACATTATCAATTTTTTTTTGTTTAAAAAGAGCATGACAGAAGCAATTGACAGCTTCAGGATTTGGTTCTGAAAATACTATATTTTGTCTTAAAAGCTACAACTTAATTTTTGAAACGTATAATGAACTTTATTATTTAAATAATAAGCGAATTCTTTATATAAACAAAATAATATACTGACGAATTTTCTGAAATAATCAGTAGCTAATAGTAGAATTATTTTTTGGAAAAACAAAACAATTATTGTTTAATACTCGTTTCAGAATAACATCTGGAAGTACACAGGTAATAATATTAGCTACTGAATTCCACAAAAAAATCTTCTATACAATAAAAACTACAGAAATGTGAATTATATGAGTAGGGAAGACATTTTAGTACAATACCAGACACAAACGATATCTTTGGTAATATAATCATCTTTAAAAATTAATTTCAATTAAAAAATAGTTTAAAAATAATAAAAATCTGTTTAATTAAAATTAATTCCCAAAAAATAAATCAGAGATTATTGCCTTAATAATATTTAACTACATTTCATTTAAAAACCGTATTCTGAAACACAAATTTGGCAAATGCCTAAAAAGGTTAATCCTAATTTTAAATAAATGCTTAATTTTTGGTTTGTAATGTTGAAGCTTCAGATTTAAAAAAAATACATTTATATAAGTTTAAATACTTTGGTTAAATATAAGTCCTTTCCTCGGTCCTTTCAATGTTGAACTTTTCAATAAATATATACAGGGTGGTCCGAAATGTATTCTGGAAACTTCAGCAGTATATTCTGCAGATAAATATAAGAAAAAAAGTTTGTATAAATGTATGTCCTAAAATGCTTAGTTTTGGAAATACAGGGTGTAGAAATTTCATTTTTATTTCGATTTTTTCCAAATAATTTCTGAATTAACGTCAATATTTGGATGAAAATCGGTGTCTGGGAGATTTTTGACATGACAAATTTAAATGAAACTTCATTCTTCATTAAATGAAACATCTTCAACATAAAAATGAAACTTCTACACCTGTATCTCTGAAACTAAGCATTTTAAGAGATATATTTATACAAACTTTTTATATACACCTGGTAATATTGTTCAGTACAATAATTATGATAAAATATAATGCTGACTGACTTTGATTATTGTTTATTAAAGTTTCATGTGCAACTTATATGAGATCCAATTTATAATTTCAAATTCGATTTTTTTTCAAGACAAAAATCTCAAAACTATTTTTTTTTGTTTTTAGAATCAATATAAATACCGTGAAATGGGGTGACTTTACCTCTCGGGGCGACTTTTCCAAATTCCGTCCCAAAATATGTTAGACGTAGCCGTAACCACTACTTGAAAAGAACGCGTTATGTGTTATCGGTAAATTATGGGTGGGGGCGCCCCACGTCTCGGAACGTCGCTAAACGCTTGCCGTCAGTTGCGATGTAGCATTTACAGTGCTGTGAAGCCGAATCTGTTTTTAAAGCCTATTTTGTGCGTTTCAAACTTCTACGGGGCTGAACTGCCTATATAACTTTTTTAAACTAAATTAAAAGGATGACATATATTTTTAAAATATATTTTTTAAAACATATTTTACGTAATTATGCTTTTAAATGGGGTGGCTTTGGTCTATCAAAAGAATAAGGAAGAGGGCAAAGACACCCCAAATAAGCAACTAACTTTGCCCATTCAGTTTTTTACTTTTTTTTATATATACAGGGTGGGGTCCTAACTGTATTCCGGAAACTTCGGCAGCATATTCTGCAGATAAAAATAAGTAAAAATGTTCGTATGTCAAAAAATGCTTAGTTTTGGAGATACAGGGTGTAGAAGTTTCATTTTTATTTCGATTTTTTCCAAATAATTTCTGCAGTGACGTCAATATTTGGATTAAAATTGGTGTCTGGGAGTTTTTTGACATGAGAAATTTGATTTTGATGTCAATATGACTCCTACTTATAAAGGGCGCCCCCTACATGGGTTTTAACTGTTTTGAAGTGTAATAACTTTTCGTCCATGCCTGTATGAATTAATTGGGCAAAAAAATATACATTTTCGTGATTTTTTACGTAAAAAATGTCTCTTGGTAAAAATCGCTACGAGCAACCGTTCTCAAGATATTTAGAATGGAAATAGTCAATACATGTCATTATTGGCAAAAAATAAACATGTTGGGTTGATTTTAGATAGAAATTTGTGAAATTTTTATTTTTTTAAATTAATCATAAATTTTTCTGCGAAAAAAGCATATGATAAAACAGTTTTTGTTGAACTTTTGTTGTTTTTTTTTCAAATTTATGATTTCAGTCTAATAATTATTTAGTCAACATGTTTAATTTGTGTAATTTCGACTCCAAATATCTCGAGAACCATTACTCGTATTTTTACCAAGAGATTTTTTTTACGTAGAGAAAGCCGTAAATGTATATTTTTTTACTCAGTAGTTTTATACAGGTACGGACGAAAAGTTATTACTCTTCAAAACATTTAAAATACATGTAGGTGGCGCCTCCTACAAATAGGAGTCATGTTGACATGAAAATCAAATTCCTCATGTCAAAAAACCCCTATGCACCAATTTTTATTAAAATATGGAAGTTACTTCATAAATTATTTGGAAAAAATCGAAATAAAAATGAAACTTGTACACCCTGTATCTCCGAAACTAAGCATTTTAGGACATATATTTATACGAACTTTTTTATTTATTTTTATTTGCAGAATATTCTGCCGAAATTTCCGGAATACAGTTCGGACCACCCCGTATATTTTTTTAATAAACAAAAAAGCGTATTATTGTTGTGTTGTCCTTATTATCCGCATTGAGAAAATACAACAATTTTTGAAATAAACACGATTTAAAATTCAGAATTGGGTAAAGTCACCCCACTTTACGGTATATTAGAAACTCTTTGAGCAGACCAGTATTACGTGGTATTACCTCTGAAAAATCCGAAGCTTCAACAAGATTGTGTTGGCATCAAGTTCCTTTCAAAAATGCAAGAATAAAACAAACAAAACCTATCACATTTTTGTAATTTGCTTAAACTAAACGACATTGTACTCTTATAATAACTCTTTGAGGTTTCAGTTAAATCGTACTACTCTTTCTCTGATTAGAATATATATTAAGACTAATTAAACTTAGTCAGTCTTGTTTTTTTTATAAAAATGTATCTTTTTCTCTGTTCTTTTTACACAGCCTAAAAGCGACGCCCGTGATCGTTCACTGTAACATCAAATTCTCCAGATTCCTGTGAAGGATAATGTCCTTCACGTAGTAGAAAACTATTTTTATGTTTTCCGTATCCACCGCCGTCGTGAAATGATGGTACAAAGGTTTCTTTTTGTCGCGTTTAACACTGACGAACAATTGGAGAATGAAATTTTTTACGTCCTCTAACGAACGACTATTTCCAGGGAAATGGGGGAAGAACCAACCGATGTCTGTTTCAGGATTTCGTAGTTTCTTCTTTAACAGGTCGTATTTATTGAGAAACAAGATTATCGAGACGTTACTAAAGATGACGTTATTGACTATGGTATCGAAAATATCTCTAGACTCGTCCAGCCTGTTTGTGGATCGATCTTCGACCAAAACTTGGTCAAATTCCGATGACGATACGAGAAAAAGTATCGACGTGACCGAATCGAAACATTGGAACCATTTCTGTCGCTGGGACCTTTGCCCGCCAACGTCGACGAAGAGGAATGGGATATTGTTGATGGAGATGACGAACTCGGTGATGCCTTTGGTGGCTTTCCGGCAGTGGAGGATGTCTTGGTTGGAGGGGTTGTAGCTCGGTTGAGATATCCTTTCGAGGTTGTTCAGGAAGTACTCGATGGAATCGCTCTGTAACAAAAAAAGAGAGATTGTAGAGGTAATACAATATGATTGAAAAAAAACGGCGTCAGCGATGGTTTTGAAATGAAGATCGCAGTCATTCTATTTGTAAACTTATATGGGAAATGTCATCGATCGTCATTTCCAAGCTAACTAGACGCCATTTTTTAGATCGCATCGTATTAATACCGGGTGTTGCATCGCCGAGCGGGACATAGGAAATCCCATGTAAATTTTAATGGGGTTAATTATTGACTTCCCTAATTATTTTAGAGTATAATTCTATTTAGGTTTATTGAAGAACACTAAAACCCACATTCAAAAGAATAACTTTAGATATTTTTGATTAGCCCGTTTACGAGTTATCGCCGATTTCTTTTTAACTATTTCTCCTTTCTTATGGCCCTGTATTTACTTATGAGCACCAGTAACAAGGTAAAAGATAACTGTCAAATGAAGTTGTCATTTCAGAAATTTATCTATTTAGTGCTGTATTATATGTTTATTATTATTATTAAAAACTCATACCAGTTCGAAAATATTAGTCATGAATTACACTACCGAAGAAAAAGTATTGATGATTAAATGGTATTATCAAGGAAATAGTTATCAAAAGGTGTCGGACATGTTTGCTGCTCGTTATCCGAATAGACCGATACCTGGAAAATCTACAATCGCAAGGAATATCCAGAGATTTGAGAACAAAGGTACCCTAACAAATAACTGCAGATGTGAAGCAAGGCAGGAACAAAGAGAAGATGCAAGAAATGATACCGACTTGGAAGTTTTATTGTGCGTGGAAGAGAACGATGGAAAGATCGGCACAAGGAAATTTGAGGATGAAATAGGAATAGATCACACTACAGCGTTTCGAATTTTGAAACGACATAAATACTATTCCTTCAAATATGAAAAGCACCAAGAGCTACGAGATGGGAACGAAATACGGCGGCAGGCGTTTTGTTTTGATATGATGGAAAGAGCAAACACGGATAGGGAATTTTTAAAAAACATACGTTTCACTGACGAATGCACGTTTCCCTTAAATAATGAACCCAATGTTCAAAATTATCGATATTGGAACAAATCCATATGTCTGGGAATTTTTTTTATACCCAAATCTAGACGAGTTAAAAAACGCTATTTCTGCCGAATGCAATAGAATTTCAGTTTACCAACTAGCGAATGTAAGAAGAGAATTTTATGATCGCCTGGGTTATTGTCTAGCAGTCGATAGAGGAATATTTGAACATCTTCTTAAATCCTAAAGTTCTAACAATTTAATAGTACCTAAAAATAAGTTATTGAATATTGTAATAATACTATAATTAAACTTGTAATTGATTACTTTATTTTACTTTAATTCATATTAATTTGTATTTATAAATACATCTTTAAGATTTCCGATGTAGGAATGAGTTTTCAATAATAATAAAGCACTAAATAGGTAAATTTCTGAAATGACAACTTCATTTGACAGTTATCTTTTACCTTGACTGGTGCTCATAAGTAAATACAGGGCCATAAGAAAGGAGAAATATTTAAAAAGAAATCGGGCGATAACTCGTAAACGAGCTAATCAAAAATATCTAAAGCTATTCTTTTGAATGTGGGTTTTAGTGCTCTTCAATAAACCTAAATAGAATTATTCTCTAAAATAATTAGGGAAGCCAATAATTGACCACATTAAAATTTACATGGGATTTCCTATGTCCCGTCCGACGATGCAACACCCGGTATATAGTGTGCCATATTGAGAACGACACTACTGAATTTAGAAATTTTACATGATAAGATTGGTTTGGTCCACTGCTGCCTTTCTGGCAAAGTGTTTTTATCAAAATTAAAAACTAGGATATAAAAAATACTATACAGGGTGAGTCTTAAATAAGTGCAAATATTTTCAGGGCTTGTATATCTCGATAAAAGAAACATATTTTCCCTTTACTGTTTTTCAAAGAAGTCCAAAATAACCGAGTTATTTTAGTTTGAAAATTTCCAAAAAATAGTGGGGTATGTTAGGTTAAAATTATGCCAAAATATTTCACATCTGGCAACCAATGCACCCTTTTGGATTTAGATAGTACATGGATAGACAAGTCTAAAAAACCCGGGACACAAATTTTTCTGGCCCTCTAGCGGTCTTGATGACGTAATCAAAATGGCCGCCAAAATTTTTAGATACGCTTCTATATTTCGCGCTATAAGTCAGTTTTACTTTCCGAGAGTAACAAATATTGTTAGTGATTATAAAAGAGGAGGAAACGCGCTTTTTAATGGTATATTTCACAAAATTATTTACGTTTATAATAACAAAAATATTTGTTACTTAAAAAAAAACGTTTTTTAATTTCATTTTTTTGTCAGATTTTTCTAAATAACTTGAAATTCGATATATGTAGCTAAAAATGTGTTTGTATACTTTTTCTTCGCAAAAAAATACCTTTACAATGGTATATACCTATATATCTTCTATTTTATCATAAACAGTTGCTAAAAATCTGTCAAAACAATGTAGCGTTGCACAGCGTTAGGGCAGCAATGTAATTTATAGATTTCGAAAAGTAATACAGCGGTTTTGTACCTGCTAAAAAGCAAAAAAATTAATAACTAATTTTTGATGAATATGTCAATAAAGTATAGCTCTTTTCGGAAGACGAAACTTTGATTTCCGTTTTAAAATCGCACACATGAAGCACACTCAAGGTATAACTGTAAAGTAACTTTCAAACATTAGTTACAGAAGTCATATCCAGAGTAGAGGATTTGCATTCACGAAATGACATCCAGACTTTCCAGACTGTCTTTTTGCCAATGCTACCAAATGTGGAAACTGTGTCGCAACCTGTAACAGAATGAAAAGCCAACAAATTATTGCAAATTTCCGGTGAGAGTTTGGCACAAATCTCATGAATTGGAATGCATTTTCTGTTTTTGCCAGTACCATACTCAATCGATAGTTCATCAATATCTTTTATTTGTGAGAACAGTGATATTGAAATAACCACCACATCTGAGTCTACAGTTCGTATTAAGATGCGAGTATGTCCATTTTCAACTGCATGCTTAACATGGAGAAGCATGCGCTTCTGCTTCTTCCATCTGCTTCTTCGTGTGAGGCTGGAGAAATGCTTGATATATCCATATTTGTTGACGCGAGGACTCGATCTTCATAAGTACATAGAACATGTTTCCCTGGATACTCCTCCCTCACCATTTTCTTCGCTAGCAACTGGAACAATCGTGTCTTGCATCCAAAATTTACATTTTTAGGGAGCTGCGATGTTTAAAATATGTTCTAAAAAAATTATTTTTTTACAAATACATTAAAAATTACAGCAATTACATTTGATAGTTAAACATTAAACTCATTAGGTAACGCTACAATATTTTGGCAAATTTTCAAAAACTGTTTGTGACAAAATAGAAGTCATATATACCGCTCATAAGGTAATTCTCTGACGAACAAAAAAGTATATGACACGTTTTTAGCTAAATGTAACTGATTTCAAGTTATTTAGCAAAATGCGATTAAAAAAATGAAAATTAAAAAAAATAAAAAATAAAATTTCAAATATTTTTGGTTTTGTGAACCTAAACTATAAAACCAAATACACCGTTGGGAAGCATGTTTTCTCCTAATTCATAATCACTAAAACATATGTTAATATCGGAAAGGAAAATTGAGTTATAACGGGAAATCTAGAAGCGTGTCTCAAAATTTTGGCGGCCATTTTGATTACATCATCAAGACAGCTAGAGGGCCAGAAAAATTTGTGTCCCGGGCTTTTTAGACTCGTCTACCTATGTCCTATCTGAATCCAAAGATCTTTTCTGGGTTTACTTCCTTGTAAATTTAATCTACTGCATCTGTTGCTTATTATCAAGAAATTATATTTTTTAATTAAAAACTAAAAAAAAATCCAAAATATATTTCAAAAAATTCCAAATTTTCCAAAAAAAAAACTAGCGAAAATAAACTCAAAACCGTGTTTCTGGGGAGAAATATACTATCCCTAAAAATATTTGCACTTATTTAATACTCACCCTGTATCGTGCCTAAAATAATAGTATTTTGTTGGGAAGATCTTTATAGTTTTATATTAAAGTCTTTCACATTTAACAATAACTACAATTAGCCCAGCATCTCTCATTCCCCTTTCAGTTCCCTTTAAAAAACAAATTATTTTTTGTGTTCCTCTGTTGTTACTAAATAATATTTATATTGTATTCAAATATTGACCTAAAATGTTTCATACGATGATTCTTTAATTTAGCGTAATTTTAAATAAATCATATAAATCGAACATGTGATTTCACATTGCGGTTGCTGCGGTAATGACAATCAGTAATGATAAATTAGGTTTTTGTTGTACTCGCTCACGACAGCAAAATTATCAAAGTAGGTGGAAACATTAAAAAGGTTGGCGACCAGTGTTCACAGTTGGCGACCATTTTCATCATCTTTAAACCGGCCAGGACAAGCCATGAAAAACATCAGACGATGAAATTTATTGGGGGGAGAGGTTCAAAAGTCCTAAAATTCGTGTGACGTAATTTATGGGTCGCTCCCAAGGCTCCTTCATTAAAAATTAGGGTTTTAACACAGCAATAGCCTTCTAGATTGAATTTTAAAATAATTTTTTTAAGTGAAACTGTCAAAACTTGACATGTGATATGTCATTTTATTCATGTGTCATGTTCTATCGAATAAAGTAAAAAAAAAAGGGGAAAGGTGAAAACAGTGACCGAAAACAATTGAATACGTCAATCAATCCTAATTTATGTCATATGCTAACATACCAAATCTCGTTTTTTTATCTGAAAAAATAAAAAAGTTATAGGGGTGAGCCACTTTGGAGAAACACCCGGAACATTATATAGACAAATAATAGTGTTGTTAGAATTTCATGTAGATTACCAACAATCAAGGAATATACCTATATGTATAGGTGGTTCTATTTATAAGAAAGCAATTAGCAGACACGCACAAAAAGGGCGCCAAGTTA